GCGGCTGTGCCGATGCCCTCACACCCTGAGTGCTTGCCGTGCTGCGCCGTGGCCAGGTGGCGAAGGAGCCGCGGTCGCTGTACTTCTCACATCGTGGGGCCTCCGGGCAGACGGAGCCTGAGCTTCTGTTCTGTCTCCCTCCACGCCCATTGGCTCCAGTTTTTATATCAGGATTGTGCTTCTTATGTCCTGATATTTGATAATTCCCCTCGATTTAGATTGTCGTGTTACTGTGATTAGCAACACTTATTCTTTCAGGCCTTATTTTGCATACACTCACGTATGTGTTGTCATGTTAGTATATCTGGGGTTTTGTACTAATGTGGGAAGTGCGTGTATATATACATATATATGTTTAAAATAATGTGAGACTGCTTTCTAATATTCTTTCGTAGCCTACTTTTTTAGTCCATGGCCTTCACCTTTCCACGTCAGTGCACGTCTGTGTCATCTGACGTCCATATTCGCATCTTTCCAGTTGCCCAGAAGTCTTGTGGCTGATACATCCAGTGTTTACAGAGGAGGAGCATCACACGACTTAACATTATAAAACTACTCATGCAGTCTGTCCCGTGCCTGAAGCGGATACCCAGATTTCTTATTTTCCTTGTCATCACTCACGGGGCACAGAGCCCTTGGGTCGTCTGCACCCCTGCATGTGTCTCACTGTCCCCAAGTCGTCACTCGGCTGCTGCAGCTGGTAGGTCCCCGGGTAACCCCGGATGTCATGTTTGCATTGCTTTATGGGTTCTGTTTTTAGGCTTTATCCGTCTTCCCAGCACAGAACATGCGTCCTTAGTTGTGCTTCCCCACCCTGTCCTCGCCTGCGTCTGCACACCTGCACCGGCAGCCCCCCCCCCCCACCGCAGGGTGTGTCAGCTGTGTTTCAGTCGCTCTCCACGAATCGTGTGTGTCACCGAGCCATGCAGCGTCCCACGACAGCTTTCCCTTTCTTATACATCTTTTCTCCCACGTTAACAGCTGAGTTGGTGCTTTTCTTCTGCTTAATATTTTGCTCTCCTGTCGTTGCTGGAACCCCCACTCTGCCAATTGCCTGAGTGTTTCCAACACGTTCAGCGTGTTCAAGCGCGCAGGAAGGAGTTCCATGAGACTCCTCTTCTCCAGAGCCTTCTGACCTGCCTCATTCTGGACACAGGGCTCTTTAGCTGCAGGGCAGCACCCTGGGGACTCGTTCTGTCTCTCGCTTGGGCCCCATTCTTCCTCTTTCTCAGCACGGTCTTTATTCCGGTGACCACAGCCTCTGGTTGCTTTCTGACTAAGGGGGCATGAACTAGTTCATTTTTTGACAGCCTCGTTGTGTGTAAAAATGTCTTTTTCCACTCTGTCACAGTTGGTGGTATTTTGGCTACGTGTTGACTTCAGGGTTAGAGAGAGCGCCCCCCGAACATTGAAGGCCCAGCTCCCATTGCCTTCCGGCTCCTGGCGTAACTGCGGACTCGGCCCCTGGTTCCTGACCTCTGACACGGACGCTGTAGCTCCTCCCTGGAAGTAGGAACTTCTCTCTGCTCAGGGTCACGGAATCTCATTATGATGTGCCTTTTCCCACCGGGGAGGGTGTTCAGCCTCTTCAGTTTCAAAACTCGTGTCCTTCCGTTTGGGGAAATCCTCTCGAATCGTAACGGGTGTCGTTTCTCTCCCGGCGCTGTCTGTGCCCCTTCCCTCCAGAACCCCCGGTGTTTGGACAGGGGGCTCCCGGACTGGCCTGGTTGTTTTCCTCTTTCTTTCCCAGTCTTTGTCATTCTGTCTTTTTGCTCTACAGTCTGGGCCCCTCAGTCAACTTACCTTCCAGCCTATTAAGATTTCCTCTTTCAAACTGTATTCAGATTTTCATTTTGCTGTGATGTGTTCACTTTCAAGAACTTATAAAAACGTTCTGGACAGACTGGTTTTAATAATAGTCTCCTGTTCCTTCATGACGATGCAGTGCCCTTGCTTACTAGGTGGTGGCGGCTACTACCCCACTCTGAATATACTACCACCCGCTAGGTTGTGCACGCTCAACGGGCGGATTTGATGGGATGTGAATTATACTTCAGTAAAAGTGGTATTAAAAAAATCTTTTAAAGTATTTATATGAAGATACTAATGATAATCTACTTGACAGTTTTGTCTTCTTCTCCTTTCTTTTCTCCAGTTTGTTTTTTCTGTGTTTCATATTAAGCCTTTCCTCAAACGTCTAGTGGTCCTGGGCTGCCCCCACTCACATTAAAGAGCCGGCGCTAAAGGCGCAGGGGCTCCATGCGTCTGGTTTGCTGATGGCTGAGCCTCACTGGGAGGTGCTGGGCCCTTACAGGGGGCGCCCTCCAGGGCCAGCATCTCCAGGCCTGTCCTCATGGGCTTGTCCCCAGAGAAGAACCCTGAGTGTCTTGCCTGGAGAGCGTGAGGCTGCCTGCCAGCATTCTGAGAGCCCTAGAGGAAGGGCGAGTCTTACCAACCTTGAGCCTGTGGGCATTAGCGCCCGTTTTCAGTACAGTATTGACCCTTTTAGCTGTGCCTGGTATTTCCTAGTCCGGAGAGTCTGGACCACTCTCTCGAGGAAGTCACCGCCCCTTCCTGCTTCTGACTGGGGAGAAGTTCTGGAATCTCTTAGGTTTGTATGTCTGTTTTAGTTAGTTAGTTAGTTAGCTTTAAAATAGTTTATTGTCAAGTTGGTTTCCACATAACACCCAGCGCTCATACCCACAAGAAAGTAGGGGCGCCTGCATGGCTCAGTCGGTTAAGCCTCTGACTTCAGCTCAGGTCATGATCTTGCAGTTTGTGTGTTCGAATCCCTTGTCAGGCGTTGTGCTGACAGCTCAGAGCCTGGAGCTGTTTCAGATTCTGTGTCTCCCTCTTTCTCTGCCCCTTCACTGCTTGTGCTCTATCTCTTTCTGTCTCTCAAAAATAAATAAACATTAAAGAAAATAAACATAAGAAAGTAGAGGTACGAGTAGATTGAATTCTCACATACCTGTTCACCAGCACTAACAGCTACCAGCTCAAGGCCAATTTTTTTTTACTCTAAACTCTACCTGCTTCTCCTCCAAATTATTTTGAAGCAAATCTTTTCCATCCACAAATACTCCATTAATTAATCTTTCATTATGTGTCTTTAAAAGGTAAGAACTCTAAAAAAAATACACAATCTCACTGTCACCCTTTTCCCTTAAAAAGAAACCCTCAGTGATTCCTAACTAAGATCAGCGTCAACGCAGAGTTGGCTTTAACTGCTTTTTGAGATGGATCTCCCACCGTTTACTCCCGCCTTCAGCCGCGCCTGCTGCTGCCAGGTCCTAAGAAGGCTTTGGGGGTCCTGCAGCGTAGAGCAGCCTGTGCTCCGCTTGCCCACTCCCAGCTCAGGGCGCCTCTTCCTTGCGCATGAATGGCTCCACCACACATCCATTTGTTTCTCAGCTCCCAGAATTTTATTGTATTGTGTTATATAATATTTTCTCTTGTCTCTGTGCTCAGGCAAGACTCCCTTTATAATGTTGTCTCAGTGGGATTTCGGGAGGAAGCAGAGGTAAATGCACTTGTCCCTTGTCCGGTTCACCCCCCGGGAAGCCTCGAGGGCTGGGCTGGGCCTTCCTTCCCGGAGGCCCTTGTCGCCTCTGCCCCAGTGGCAACAGACGAGTCCGTCTTCGTGATGAGATTTTCCCTCTCACTTTTATCTCATGACCTTAATTTTCGCTGACCCTTCCTGTGACAGCCTGGTCCAGGCCCCTGTTCTGCACACTGAGGGCCATGGTCCTGCGCCCGTCCTCGCAGACAGTGTCTTCTGTCCGTCACGGTCTCTTTCCTCTGATCCCTTCCATGCCTTTCCCTGTCGGTGTGGAGCTTCAATAGTAAGCGGTGGGTCTAATCAGAGGAGAACAGGGCGATATTTTCTTCTTTTGAACATTGTTCTTTGATTATTGTAGCCTTTGATCCTGTTAACCTTTTTGGATAATCTTGTCTGGTTGAGGAAAGGCCAAGAGAATGCTGCTCTAAACTCTGTCTCCCATCCCGCATTGAACACCCTGGTTTTAGACGTGACCACTGGGATTTGTCATGTCCCTATTAAATACCGCATCATTTAGAGGTCTGTGATGGCAGTAGAGGCATCCGTCATGAAACCTCAGTGGGACATCTCCATGCTTCATGGTGGAGAGGAGTAAGGAAAAGGCAGGAGTTTTAAGGAAGGGAGAGAATTACTTAGAAAAGAAGGTGGGAAGACTCCTGAAGGATTTCATGGTGAGGGATGTCTGTGTGCGAGCGAAGTCACTGATGTGGCAGGGATTGAGATCTGAGGAGCGGGGACAGTCACTAGGTGAGGAAAGGCTTGTAGAATGTGAGAGGGAATGGTGTCAGGGACATAGAGGGAATGACAGTGCAGATTAGAAAGGAGGTGGCACTTTGCACTCTAATGTGCTTTCACTCACTGTATTGGACTCCGTTCAAATGTTACTTAATCCAGACAGCAGCCTGTGAATTTGGTAATATTTGCTCCATTTTTCAGGTGAAGGAGGTAAGGCTTTTGGAGATAAAGGAATGTGGACAGTCACATAGCTGGTTAGTGACAGAGCAGGCTTCAAACTAAATCCCATGCTGTACCCACTTCCCCGGATGGCCTAACAAGGGCAGGGAGCAAGTGAGAACACGGTTAAAGGTTAGTGAAAACAGGGCTGTGGAGTAGAGTGTTTGAAGGGAAGAGGTGGGCTAAGATTCCAGCTTTATGTTGGGTACTTTGTAACCAGTTGGAAAATGCTGCACAGGTTGCTTTCTGCAGTTATTTGGGAGGAGGGGATTAATCTCATGAGAAAGAAATGAGAGGATAACCTTGTGTGTACACATAGTGTTAGTAGTAATACTTCTATACGCAGGGTGTTACTATCCCAAATTTATTTTGTCTTTGAGTCATGTAAATGGACTCTTCCTGCAACCACAACGACGTCACCAGAGGCAACAAAGTATCCATGATTTGGAACAGATGTGATTTTATTGTATCTCTTGTGTTGTAGGCCTTTGCCCAGTTTGATGCCGAGGGCGATGGTACAGTCGATGCTGAGAACATGCTGGAGGCCCTCAAGAATTCCAGCGGAGCTAATCTCCAGGGGGAGCTAAGCCACATCATCAGGCAGCTGCAGGCCTGTTCTCTTGTCCCGGGTAAGGCTCTCATCTGAGCGCTGAAGGCCAGGGGGTGCTCTTCTAGAGCGGAAATGAGTTTTGCTCTCCTGCGGGTTATAACTAGGTAGGGTGAGGGCGCCGTGGAATAAATGTGCTTCTTCCAGCCATCTCCGTTACGCTCGCGGTCTGAGTTAGTGTTCCGGGTAATCGTCTCTTTGGGTCCCCAGTGAAGTGACGCCTGGGCAGCGCTGCCGTATTTAGGGACTTTTGTCTTGACCCCATGTTCCTTAGCGGGTCTGTTTTGATCCTGCCCCAAGCGTGTGTTCTTAGCATCCTGCATTTGTCTTTTGCCTCATATCAGCACTGTAATTAATTAATTAATCATTCACTTATCTGTACATGCCTGTCTTTATTCTTATACTCTGTCTCTGCGAGGACAGGGACCTTTTATTTCTGCGGTGTCCTCACATTTAACACATTTTTGGTATATGGCAGGTGCCCAGTGTTTGTTTGTTTTCAAAAGCTACCCGTCTGAAATTTAAGCCGTAATAAAAACAGCATGAAATAAAGCAATACTTCTTCTAGATTGTCCCAAGGAAAAAAGTTTTGTGTTTTTGTATGGTCTCTTCTAGGGACTCAGAAGACAGAATCAAAATTAAATTGCCCTCTTTTTTTTTTCCGGTGAGAAAAACAGTTGTGTTCCAAAGGGACAAAACTTTGCTTATCACCCTTGTGCCCTCAGCCCGTCTCAGAACTTTCTCTACCCTGTGCTCTCGGTGCCCTAACAGGTAGCACAGAGCCTGGCGGGAGCAGCAGTGCGGGCAGGTAGACTTGGTAGATGCGTTGATGTAAATGCGATTGCCTTTGACCTCTCTGGCTTACTGCGGAGGGTGTGCTGGGCTAGGAAAGCGTGATGTGTGTATATTGATGAAGAATGCAGCTTCTGTTCTTCCTCAAGTTGCCTTTCATTATATAATCTTGGACTTAAAAAAATGTTTGTTTATTTTTGAGAGAGAGAGTATTAGCAGGGAAGGAGCAGAGAGAGAGGGAGAGAGAGAATCCCGAGAAGGCTCTGTGCTGTTAGTGCAGAGCCCGACACGGGGCTCGATCTCATGAACCATGAATTCATGATCTGAGCTGAAATCAGGAGTCAGACAATTAACCAACTGAGCCCCCCAGGCACCCCTAATTATACAATCTGTATAGCGGTGAGGTAATCCGTACTTCTTAACTGCTTTCCTACCCTCAGGGCAGGTAAGAGTACGCCTCGACTCAACGTTTAGCTGAGTTACATCTTGGCGTTTCCGCGTAACTACCACGTCTGCGTTAGCAGCACAGGGGTCACGTCAGGAGCTTTGTGTGGACGCTTGAAGCAGATGTTGGGGAGGCAAGGAAGGGTGATGACCAGGGGACCCACCTAAAATAATCCTCAGTGCACTGTTGCTCTGGGAGACTGGGGGAGGGGAGACAGAATTAGGAAAACCCGGGGCTCACAGCCCAGGGTGCTTCTGCAGCAGGGCTGTGACTAGGACTTTTTACTCAAAATTTTCTATCAACCCCCAGTTTACAGAAATTATTTTATCACAGTCTTAGGACAAACCTTGGTCAGCCGGACTCACCTGCCATGGGATTTGTGTCCTCCTCCTTCTTTCTGACCGAGATTGGACCTTGTCCCTGTCACATCTCCCCATGCTGGTGCTGAGTGTTTGCGGACATGCTGCCTGTTTCTGCGTATGGGAGAATGTTCCCATTACCAGAGTCTGTCTGCTTTTCCACGAGGGTCCTGAGCACGTGGGTGTGGCATCGGCACTGTCATCGCGTGAGGGTGGTGCTGCCGTGGAGTCTGCCAAGGGGGCACACACCGTACAGGGAGGGCCGGGGTGGCCCGGACTCTAGCGTCCTGGGAAGTGGAGCCCGTCTCCGGGATTTGCGTGGACGGCGTGGTCACAACGAGCTGCTTCGCGCACATAAATTCTCGTCAGCCTGCTTTCTCTTAAAAATTAATGCAAATAACCTGTTTGGGTTTTTTTACTTTGTTATTTATTAAAAAAATTTTTGTGTGTATTTTTGAGAGAGAGAGAGAGCACACGTGTAAATAGGGAAGGTGAGGGGCAGAGAGAGAGGGAGACACAGAATCTGAAGCAGGCTCCAGGCTCTGAGCTGTCAGCACAGAGCCCGACGCGGGACTTGAATCCACGGACTGTGAGATCATGACCTGAGCTAAAGTCGGACGCTTAACCGACTGAGCCCCCCTGGCCCCCCTAACCTGTTTGTTTTACACTTTCAATAATTTCTCCTAAGACTTGTGAGGTCTGCTCTCGGTGCTGCACACATGGGGTGTTCAGTTTGTGAAAGTTCATCAGTCAGTACACTTGCAACATAGGTACTTTTTGTCACGTCTGTTATGATTCATTAGAAAGTAAAAAAATAAAATAAATTTCCCCCAAACCTACAAGTATGTCTGAGCTCTGGGAAAAGCTGCCGTGTTTATCCCCGCCTCCCCTTATTACTGGGTTATGGGCGCCTCAGTTCAGGGCATGGCGTTGTAGGTTATGGAGAGCCACGAAGGGTGTTCAACAGCGCTAGATGTTATGTGTTTGTAAGATTGCTCGGGTCAGTGCAGACAGGACGGCCCGGAGGGCCGCTCAGGAAATCTGCGTGGGTCAGTATGAACAGGCGATGCTGAGGCCCGAGGGAGGGACAGTGGGGGCAGACTCCAGGGAGCCCCACTGGAGTGACGGCGGGAGCTCGGGCCAGAGCCCGCGCGCCGTGAGATGCCTCTGGGAACTGTGGTCAGGGCGGTGGCCGCACCATCATTATCGTGCTGTCCTGTAGTTGAGTATAAAAACAGTTACTTTTCTTACTCCAAGACATGACAGACTTTATTCTTAGCCCACGTTCTGTATACAAAACATGTTTAAAGACTTGTGGTTAGTGTTTTAGTGCTTTTGATGCAATTTTAAAGCTGGGATTGAAACAAATAATCATTATTCGAAGTCTTCTAAAATTTTATTAAACAAAAGGAAATTTTTTAAAAGATTTTATTTTTGAGTAATCTCTGTACCCAAGAGTCAGTGAAGAGTCATGTGCTCTACCGGCTGAGCCGGCCGGGCCCCTGTGAAATTAATTTTTAAGTTGAGATCACCACTGGCTCATTTCTTAAAATTTGCTTAGATTTTTAAATAATTAAAGCTGAAAGTATCAGTGAAGACCCGTAATGGCAGCCTCTCACTCACAGCCAGTTCAGGTAGGCCACCAGGCGGGGTGCAGGGACCCTGTGGTGGCGCGTTCCTCAAAACACCCAACCTGGGTTTTGTCTGTCTAGGTTTCATAGACATATTTTCAGAGTCCAAGGAGGGCCTGGGTGTTCACGCGTCCCTGATCCTGCGTTTCCTGCACCGCAATCGGCTCTCTGGCATGTCCGTCCCCTGCCCCATGTTGGACCACTGCAATAACATGTGCTCTATGCGGGCCTCGGTTCTGAAGGAGTCCCTGGACCAGCTGGCACAGAAGGAGAGGGGTACGTGTGCGTGCGTGGAGGGGGCTGGGAGCGGCTTCTCTCATTTCTTCCAGAAGCACTGTGAGCCAGCCCTTCTCCCTGCCTTCACTTCTGAAAACCAGAATAGCAGCCAGTCTGTAGCATATGTTTCTGCTGGTTTCTGTGTCTCCCTTCCCCTCCCCTCCCCTCCCCTCCCCTCCCTTCCCCTCCCCTCCCCTCCCCTCCCTTCCCCTCCCCTCCCCTCCCCTCCCATCCCCTCCCCTCCTCTCCCCTTCCCTCCCCTCCCCTCCTTCCTTCCTAGTGCAACTGGCTTCTCATTCAGGTCTCTGCTCAGATGTGGCCTCAGGAAAGGCTCTCCTCGTTACCCCATCTGATCTAACGCCCTGACCCCTGCCATTCCCCACCTTATGGTCACCATCACCTTTATAGCTTTAATGGTCTGAGTGGCACTTACTATCTGAAGTTGCACCGTTATTATTCCTTTGTACTTTGTCTGCCCCGTTCATGTCATTATCCTTAGCACCGGGACTGCGGCTGCCACATTGTAGGTACTCTGTGGGCAGTAGTTGCGTAAATGAGAAAAGCCACCCCAGACTCCCTCTGTGACACTGGCAGACGTTGACAGTGTGGACAGACAGGTCTGTGGATCATGGTAGAGTCCCGGAGTAGACCCAGTACATGCCGGAACACAGGCCAGGACAGTTAGCACTACTTTCTATGGGGTAGAAAGGTGTATTGGTCGACAGCTGGGGTCAGGGCAACTGGCCAGCCATTTGGAGAAATAAATAAAACTAGATTCTAATCCATTCCATTATACTGAAACAAATTTCAGGTAGATCAAAAAATTCAGCTATAAAGACTGTAAAGTGCGAGAAGAGAGTAGTGCCATCTGCACAACGCCCGACATGGGACACCTCGCTGAGCAAGACGTGAAAGTCAGACTAGAAGAGATTAATTAATTAGACTTTATGCAGATTTAAAGTTCTGTACAGCAGAAGATATAAGCAGAGTCAAAAGATGAATGATATTCAGGGAATAAAGATATATTTTGTAACATAATGACAGACTTAATTTTTACTGACTCTGGCCTTGGGCAGTTACTTAACTCTCTGTGCCTTAGATTCCTCTTCTCTAAACTGAACTAGAACGTAGTAGACATCACCTGTTCTGTGTGTGTGTGTGCGCGTGCGCGTGCACATCATATAACATACAAACTGGTAAGAAGACTTGTGCTCCACAGAAAATAGATGAGGGGAGGACCGGGCCTCACTCAGAAACACGAGTGGCTTACAAACTAGTGGGTTAAAAAATCTCACACATAATTAAGGAAATGTCAGTTGAGACTGTAAGATACCATTTTTTGCTGTTAGTGTGGTTTTGCAAATGTCTGTGGTTTAAGCATTTTACTGTAGTGGTTCATGGAGCAATCCTTGGCCAGTTTCTGCTTTATATTGGTTCTTCAGAAGGAGATTTTAAGGAACATTTATTTTTCAAGGATCAAGGTACCGAGCATATTTATGTTAGGTATTTTAAATGACCTTTTTTCCCTTTGTGAAAGGGATGTCATGTGATGGAATCTGATTTTCCCTGCAGAAAGCCCTGGTGATCTCGCTAGGAGCCCAGAGATGGATAGACTCAAGTCGGTGGCAAAATGCTATGCTTACATAGAGACGTCCTCCAACCCCGCGGACATCGACAAGATGACAAATGGGGACACGTCGTCGTACTGGCAGTCGGATGGCAGCGCCCGCTCACACTGGATCCGGTGGGTGAGGCCGCACCAGCTACTGCGAGCCACGCGCTCCCCTCTCATCAGTGCGCTCGGAAATTATTTTCGATGCTCTAAGAGTCAAGTACAGGGGACTTTACGGCACTGCCGGGCTCGTGTATCCGTAAACACCGATAACCCCCCCTTTACTTGGAATTTTGGGAGAAAATAGTATTTGACTAATGTTTTATGATACTAATTTCAGATCTTTTTCCCTAGTTTCTCAGGAAAATTAGCATCACAAGGGGCACGTACTTAGATGCAGTTTTACATTTTAAGATCCTCTGTGTTCACTTAAACCCCTGTAGGGGCAGGGGGATGGGAGGAGCGGGGCCTGCTGAGGTGCTTCTGGCTCTGAAGCCGCCGTCTCTTCAGGGAAAGGGCTCCTTTCAGTCGGTGGAATAGAAATAATTGTCTTGTTTTCTCGTAGAGAGCATATATGACCTTTAGCTATCTAACCTGCAGATGAGGGAATATGTTCAGTTCTTTGGATGCAGTTTAGAATCTGTTTCTCAGGTAAAGTGTTTTTTAGGATGTTCATGTTGTACTTTCCTGCTTGTATTAATAGCTTAAGAGGAAATGTAAGGTTAATCTTGAACTGAAAGGAATCTTCAAGGTGTGGGAAGCTCATAAGGATTTTGAAACTAATAGCGTTTCAAGTTGGTTGCTTTTAGAAAGTGAGTCTTTGGTGACATCAGGCACGAGGTCTCGGAGACGGGACTTGTGAACGCTGCCGGTTATGACCCGTACAAACGTTTGCAGTTGCTGCTCCCTGTGTTTTCCAGCTTAAAAATGAAGCCAGACGTTGTGCTTAGGCACCTGTCCATCGCAGTGGCTGCCACTGACCAGAGCTACATGCCGCAGCAGGTGACCGTGGCCGTGGGGAGAAGTGCCGGCGAACTTCAGGACGTCCGCGACGTGCACATTCCCAGCAACGTCACCGGCTACGTGACGCTACTGGACAACGCCAACATCAGCCAGCTCTGTGAGTCGCCCGGATGCGTCTTGCCCTCTGATTCAGGGGTTCAGGGTGGAGAGAAGAAGGAGTATGTTTTAGCGGGAAGACTTCTAAAATGGAGAAACTGTTAGATTTCTTTGTAGGTTTGATTAGCGACTCATGATATGCACGTGGGAGTAGCCATTATTTCATCTTTTTGGTGTTTTTAAAAGTTATAGGAGCCTTTTTCAATTAAAAATATTTTTGTTTCCTTGTTGGAAAATTAGAAAATATAAACAAAGATTACTCAAAATTCCACTACCCCAGGGGTAATCACTGTGAATATGTTAGTGTGGAACCTTCCAGAAATTTTCTTATATGTGTGTGTGCATGTGTACATGCGTGTGTTTACACGCACACACACACATTTTAAAAATAAAACAGAGGACTGTGTGTGCGCATTTCCAAAAATGGCGATATACTTTCCGTGCTGATTCGTAATTCTTTAGTGCGTTGTCCTGCCATGTTCTTGCACACCTTTATTTAGTGTTGCCTTAGTTGTAACCAGCTCTTTATTCTTGGACACTTAGGTTGTTTCCATTTTTATGCTATTATAACCTTCATGCCTAGCATTTTGGAAATAATCACAATTCTGTGATTTCTTTCCAGGCTTTTTTCATTCAGGGAGCCGGAATGCTTCATGCTTTGTCTAATTTCTTCTAATGCTCTCCTGGGCCAAAAGAAGTGTTCTTACTTGGCTCAAAGGACCTGAGGCCTAGGGAGGTAGAGGCTTTGTGTCTCGCCCGTGGGCAAAGCAGTAGTTCAGCTCCTGGAGTAGACGCTCCTTGTCTCACACTGTGATGAGCCTTTCTCTAAGTCGTGTCCCTTTTAACTTCTCACCTCCTCCTCTCCAACCCAAATAAGAAATTGCAGCACCTCTTAAAAGCAAGTCATGCCTGCGTCCTCTATTTGGACTTGATTATCGAAAATAAAGTCTCACAACTACTGTGAGCCAGCTCCTGTTTGTAAGTCAGTCAAAATTTCAGAACCCTAGCTGTAGTAATTTTCTTACCATGGATTTAGTCAGGATTTAAAAAATGATCTTGTGTTCGTTTTCAAGGCACGTAAATTCCTAAGAAACTTTGTGATGGGAAGATTTAAGCCACCCTTTAATTTACACATTATTCTTATGACTCCTTAATTTGGCTCGTGCTTTTTTGACGAGTTTATTATATGCCAGCTCCATTGTACACATTATTTATTTTTGGTATCAGAGTATATTTCAGAATTTTCTTTTCAAAATGTGAATTACTGTTTTGCTTTTAGTTGGGAGCCTAGCATTTGCTGAACTGAAGAACTTAATCCAATACTGAATTTGTTGTTTGCGCTTGACAGATGTCCAGATTAACATAAAACGTTGTCTTAGCGATGGATGTGACACTAGAATTCATGGTCTGAGGGCTGTTGGCTTTCAGCGAGTTAAGAAGTCTGGGGTCTCAGTGTCAGATGCTTCTGCGATCTGGTACTGGTCTCTGCTGACATCTCTGGTGACGGCGTCCATGGAGACAAATCCCGCCTTCGTCCAGACAGTGCTGCACAACACTCAGTAAGTGGCCCTCTCTGCTTTCCCACCCACCGAGGGGCCCCCGTTGTACCCTCCCCCTGCAGAGCATGGCACTGAGACTCAGTCACCAGCTCCTCCACAGCTGCCCTGCTGTTTCCGTTGGTGCCGGCGGCTCCAGGCGGCTCTGTTCCTTGCCCTTCCAGGGGGCAGTTGCTCACGTTTATGTAGCACTTTACCTCAGATAAGTGCCTTCAAGTGCCGTGTATCATTTACCTCCTCGTATTGTGAAATGTACACGTAGAACTTCTCCCCACGTGACGGGGGAGGACCTTGTGATGTTCTGCTGGCCCATCGCTGGGCAGGGATGCGTCAGTTTGGGTCTAGGCCTTTGGACTCCAAATTGAGAGCTCTGTTTTTACTCCGGAGGGAAATCTTCAAGGGTACTAAATGAATTCATTTTTAAATGTAGAGCACCTTTGAAAATTAAAATGAAAAAAGTAAAGGCAAATTAAAATTGAATTAAAAGTTTAAAGTAAACAATTAAAATTCAATTAAATTTAAATTAAAAAATTTTTCAAACTAAAAAATTTTAAAAAACCAAAACTATTAGGACAAAAAGACCCAGTGGTATACAAGGCAGAAAGTAGTGAGATACAACCTTAGAAGCAGTGAAGTATTAGTAGCACACATTAAATGCAGTAACTGATACTCCCTCTCTCTGTGACCCTCTCCTACTCGCACTGCCTCTCTCTCGGAAAAAAAAAAAAAAAAAACATTAAAAAAAATAAAGTTCAGTAACTGATAAAAAGAGATTGCTAATAGATGTTCTCTAGATGTGTTTTGAGATTGTTACTGCTGTTCAGTAAAACTTTTCAGCCGGTAACACTGCCAGATACGAAGGGTGCCGGATATGAAGGGTAGTATTTGGCCACACTCCTGTCCTGCTTCCTGTTTAAAAAATTAAAAAAAAAAAAAACAAAAAAACAAAAAAACAATCTGTAACTTAGAGAAGTATTACAAGTACAGTGCAAAGAGCTTTTATTTCATCCCAAGCTGTTGGAGAGGAATTTGCAAACCTGGTGCCCCATTGTCCCTGAATACACTGGCGTGTATTTCCTGTGAAAAAGAACACGGCTACAACCGTCAGGCCCAGGGGCTTGTCGGGGATGTACGGCGCTGCCCGCGAGTCCTCAGGTCCCTTGCGGGTCTTGTGACTTGGCCCAGTGACGTCCTGTGTGGCACCGGGATCCAGGCCAGAATCATGCTTTGTTTCGTTGTCACGTCTCTTGAGTCTCCTTCGGTGTGGACCAGGCCCTCAGTCTTCCCTGGACTGTATGACTTCGACACTTTTGAAGATTGTAAGTCAGTTGTCTGCAAGGGTGTTGTTCGGTTTTGGTTCATCTGAATCTCATAATGAAATGCAAGTGTTGCAGCTTTAGCAGGGGTGTGCCAGAAGTGAGGGTGCCCCTGTTCTCACCCCGTCAGCTGGCACGCCACCTTAGACTGCCCCGTTACTGGCGCTGTTCATGTTAATCTCAGTGCCTGCATGGATGTGGGGGTCTCTTAGATTTTCCATTGTAAAGGGACTTTTTTTTTTTCCCGGTAATTAGTAAGTATTTTGGGGGAGGTGGTCTGAGACAAAATATCCCGTTCCTCCTCAAACTTGGTATTGCAGTGGACTCCTGATTCTTACGTTATCCGCTAGGTTATAACACATCACAGTGTTGATGTTCAGATTGGCCCAGGCGTGGCCCGTGGGAACCCCTTCAGTCTGGTTCATGGGTCCGTTTGACGTGTCCTCATTAACTTGGAGCACTTCCTTACTTTCTGGAACAACAAAATACTCCAGGCCTGGCTTGAATGCTCCTTGCCTTAATCCTGCACTGAGACGTTTTTTCCCTGCAGAATCATCATGCTTCTAGTGGAGAATGTAGAAAGTGAGCACACAAGGGGCTCCTGGGTGGTACAGTCAGTTAGGTGTCCAAGTGTTGATTTCAGCTCAGGTCGTCATCTCACAGTTGGTGGGTTCACTGTGCTGATGGTGTGGAGCCTGCTTGGGATTCCGTCTCTCCCCACTCTCTGCCCCTCCCCCACTTGTGTGTATGCACATGTGCTCGCTCGCTCTCTCAAAATAAATACATACAAAAAATTAAAAATAATAAGAGGGGCTCCTGGGTGGCTCAGTCTGTTGAGCATCTGACTTTGGCTCAGGTCATAATCTCGTGCTTTGTGAGTTCGAGCCCCTTGGTGGGCTCTGTGCTGACAGCTCAGAGCCTGCAGCCTGGTTCAGATTCTGTGTCTCCTCTCTCTCTCTGCCCCTCCCCCGCTTGCACTCTCCCTCTCTCTAAAATAAATAAACATTAAAAAAAAATTTTAAAGAAGAGAAACAAGAAAGCGAACACTCTGGACTCTTTGCAGGTGGGGTGTGACTTCTCTCCTCCATCTCCATGGGGCCCACTGGGAAATACGCATTCGCACAGAAGTAACTTGCAAGTGTGTGTACGTTGTGCACAATGACATGCATGCTTATTTCTGTGAGCTCACTTCCGGGCTCACTTCTGACCCCGTGTACAGACGACCCCACCTTGGGATGTCTCCCTCTCTTTGCGCCTCCCCTGTCGGACAGTGAGAGACCTGAGAGACCTGCCGCCCGTGCTCCCACGTGACCGGGCCCCCCCCCCCGCCCCCCCGGTCTCCCGCCCTTGCCCGGACCCTGTCCTCACCCCACCCCCACCCCAGCGTCTTTTGCAGGGCTGCTGCTGTGACCATCCCCGTACGTGTGTCCTTCTGGTCCCCCTGGGGTTCCTTGTTTAGCACCGGGCCTCCCTCCTTGCCCTGCTTGGTGCTTATTTCCCCTGTCAGACCGTCTCGTACTCACCCTGCCCAGTCCGCCCTCCGGCACCCCACTGTGGGCCACATGGTGCCCGCCCTCCTGCCCCAGCACCCGTGAGTGCCCACCCTGCACAGCCCTGCTTTATGGACTGAATTTTCAGGAAAGGGAAGAAGAACTTTCTATCTAGTTTTTGTGAAGATACGCCAAGTTGTTGAAGAATAGCTATATACATATTTTTAATTTAAATCCAAGTTAGCTAACATACTGTGTAGTACTGGCTTCAGGAGTACAACGCAGTGATGCATCACTTATGTGTGACACCCAGTGCTCATGCCAGCCAGTGCCCTCCTTAGTGCCCGTCACCCATGTAACCACCCCGCCCCCTGCCATCAACCCACAGTTTGTTCTCTGCCTTTAAGAGTCTCTTACAGTTTGCCTCCCTCTCTGTTTTTATCTTATTTTTCCTTTCCTTCCCCTGTGTTCATCTGTTTTGTTTCTTAGATGCCACATATGAGTGAAATCATATGATATTTATCTTTCTCTGACTTATTTTGCTTAGCATAATACACTCTGGTTCCACCCACGTTGTTGCAAATGGCAAGATTTTGAGGAATGGATATATTTAAAGTTTATGTTTCTAAGAAGTTGTAATTATTAATCTGCAATTACATTTTCACTCCTAACGTTTAAATGTCAGTGACCTATGACTGACATGAAATTTTTGGGGAAAAAAATCAATGAAAATCAATGAGGAAAAATAACAAGTATCATGAAGCAAAGTGTCTTTGCACTGTGCGCACCCCTGTGTGTGTGTGTGTGACCTCGCTGGCCTCCTGCGTCTGCAGCTCCGTGTAGAGAATGGGAGAGAGAGGGCACAGTGGGCGCTGACGTGATTTTAGCCTTACCGTGCTGTCTCTGCTTTGAAATGCAGAATAAAATTGTTTTGGGGATTCTCACGACTGTTACCGTAAGGTGACGGTCAGCTGTAGACTCTCGAGTTACACCTTGTGAACCTTCAGTCACACACCCAGCACAATTGCTGGCACAGGGTAGGACCCAGTAGTTTTGGTTTGTATCAGTTTGTTGGATGACTACTAGCCTGGAGGAGCTAAAGCTTTGGGGGGATTCAGAAACATAAATGTGGGTGGTGACGGGAAAAGAGGCACATAAAAGCAAGCATGAAGGTAAAAAGGCTAGAATAGCATATTTTAGAAACACAGGCAAGAACAGAAATGGTGATGGGTGCTGGTACATTTAGGAGAAAAGAAAATTCATGGCACATCTTTAGATACCGTAGACCCTGAAGGCAGATGTATAAAATGAGCCTTTTCCTGGGCCCCACGCAGCTCTGCCCCTGGGGCCATGTTTTCTAAGAAGTCCAGGGTTTTTCTGTAGAATACATATGTCTTTTGACCACTCTGTGTAAAATGAATACTTGATTCCCAAGAGTGGAGTAAGCCTTTGCAGAGGGCAAAAGAACTCTCAAAAGAAGAACTGAAAAAGAAAGAAACCCCATGACAGTACCCAGCAATGGCTCTGGGGGAAGCTGGTGTTGGGCCGCGTGTCAGGCTCTCCGTAGGAATGCTGTTCTTTCATGAGGGATTCATCCAAACGAGCTTTTAAGTGTTCAGTTTTTGTTTCATATTAGTGAGTTGGCGAGTTTGCCTGGCGTGTTCTGACCCTCCACCTCCCACTTCCAGGAAAGCGCTGCAGCACATGCCTCCACTGTCCCTTTCCCCAGGATCTACGGACTTCTCGACCTTCCTGTCTCCCAACGTGCTTGAAGAAGTGGACAGCTTCCTCATGAGGATAACCAGGTAGAGTCAGGGTTGACAAGCTGGGGCTTGTAGGGCACAGAGGGCATGTATGCTTGGTAGGTCTTCGTTTGTATGCTTGGTAGGTCTTCCTTTTAAAAATGTTTTAATCTTTTAAAGGCTACCACTAAAAATGCCTCGTGTTTGTGATCGAAGGAAAAAATGACATAATCCTTCACCCATCTAAAATCCATTATCTACTGATGCCACCTGACCTCAGGAGGTGGGGGAAGGCCGGGGGCTTCTCTGCGGCAGCCGCAGTTGGTAACCCACAGTCCCAAACCCAGAAGCTCTCAGCTTACGCGGTGGCCTTGGGTTGCATCCGCTTCCTCTCTGCACAGCCGCCGGCCCACAGGCCTGGCTGGGGCCCCGAAGTAGCTTGTCGGAGGTCTGCCTGCCCTGGCACGCTCCCTCTCTTCACTGTCTCTCTCAAAAATAAATAAATAAGCATTAAAAAAAAAGTTTCTATGTAACGTGTTTAAAATGACCGAGAAGCACGTGGTGGTGTACATCTAAAATACCGGTGGGTGCTTGGAGGAGCGGGCTCTCGAGCCAACCCCGTCCCCAGTCATCGTTGTTGGTAGCACAGGCTGACTGGAGCAGCTTCTTTATTTGTGGTTTGTTTACTTATTTATTGTTTGATTTATCAAGCGTGATTTGTTAAAATTGATACTGTTAGCGTTGTTAAATACTCACCGATTAAGGGGACAGAGGTGAGGATTTATTTCCTGGTCCTCTGGGCTCATTTAATTTTTTGTTAGGTTATCTACAGGATCTTGAGAAGCTATTTCTGATAAACCTATAGAAAGCACACAGTACGTTAATTTCACTTCTGGCGGTCAGCCGTGTGGGGTTTGGGCTGCCTTGATTTTCTCATGTTTTTAAAAAATGAAAAGGTTTTTGTTCTTTGTTCACAGCTGCCGTTCGAGTCCAGAGGTGGAGCTGACTCTCCTGGCTTTTGCACTAGCACGAGGAAGTGTTGCCAAGGTGCTGAGCTCTCTGTGTGCCATCACTGACCACCTCGACACGCGCTATGATGCCTCGTCCCTCATCTCCTCCATGGCATCGGTCAGGCAGAACCTGCTCCTCAAATACGGTACGTGACGCGGGCAGGACAGACAAGCCGGAAACCCATCGTGACGGAGGGCACTGGGGAGCTCGGTCGGTTGGGCATCCGACTCTTGATTTCAGCTCAAGTCTTGATCCCACAGGGTCGTGGGATCAACCTCTCCTTCGATTCTTGGGATTCTCTCTCTTCATCTCCCTGTGCCCCTGGCTCCATCTGCCCCGCTTGTGCTCGCGCGTGCGCTTGCTCTCTCGCTCTCTCTCTCTCCCTAAACAACAACAAAAACCGTCATTAACGTGGGACTTCCTGGCATCGTATGCCCTCGGGTAGTTTGCGGACCAGGTCACTGTAGTTATCCTGTGATTTCCCTATGAACGTACCCCTCCTACTGGAGAAGGGGTGTGGGCTCGTTTCTGGCAGCATCAGGAGGGGACCTGAGGGTCTGCTGGGCTACATCCCAGGACTTACTGGCCTCTGGTGGCCCTTTGACCTAGCCGTCCTCGGTGAGGTGCAGGACGTCTCTGTGTGTACACCAAGGGGGTTGGGAAGTGGGACTGTCTCCCCGTGGAGGAGGAGAGAGCCAGATCCTCATCTTAGACTGCATCCCTCCGCCGCCCGTGAGAGCTGCGTGGCTGCCACTGCTTCGCCCAGCTGTGCCCGGCTTCACACTGCCCAGCTGGCGTGGACTGGGGCCTCCGGGCTCTTCCCAGCTGCTATGTGAGGAACAACTTGCCTGCCATCCTGGCCTTTCGTGCTAAAGCTTCTGTGTGCGAAGTGTAGCAGTGGATCCCACCCCCTGAGCGACAGGGGCAAACTCTGCTGTTTCTGCCATGACATTTGTGCCTTTGCCATAATACGACTCAATTTATTTTATGTTTAATTTTTAGCATCAGATAAATGACGTGTTATAAATCCACGGTCCCCCTCAATTTGAAAAGGTCATTTCTTGGTGGGGTAGGGGGCCCATAGCAGGCGTGGCCAGATGGGAGGGATACGTGGTGTGTGGGAAATACTCTGCAGGCCGCTTTCCAGTTCTGTGAGCAGTGGTTTAGGCCAGGAGCCCTGGACGGGGGAACACGTGAGGGAATGTTTGTTATCGACAGAGTCTAGCTCCGGATTTGAGTACACGTTAGTGGGCGTTCATTACAGCATCATTAACACAAGAGAAACAGGAAAAGCTTTCAGGTCGTCATAGCAAGTGGTGATTTTTGTAATTCTTAAGACCGTCAAAATTTGCCTGCAGGTGTATTAAAGAAATGAAACCCAAAACCGTAAGATATTATTTATATATTTAAATGCAATTACAATAAAAATAAAAATTGGCTCCAAAACACTATCTTAGGAATCCCTCTTCCAAGTATGTTGAACGTATGCTATTAATCTGTCTTATAACGTGCTTTGTTTCTGGATAGTGGTTATCTAGCGACTTCTTGGAATCCTGTAGGGAGATAAAGCTGTACTTAGTCTCTTTCAGGAAAGCATAACTTTAGTCCAGTATCGCTTCTCTGCTTTAGTTTTCCAACAGGTACATTTTTGGTCAGTGGTGTGGAGGCCACAGGAGTCCCATTTCCACTGCCGTGCCTGCTAGTAATTTTTCTCACAGTGCTAGCTTAAGGCTCCCATTCTCTGTCTTTTCTTTGATCAGGGAAACCTCTCCAGTTGACCCTTCAGGCCTGTGATGTCAAAGGGAAGGAAGAGAAATCAGGGCCTGAAAACCTCCTCGTCGAGCCGTGGACTAGAGATGGTGAGTGGTAGGCCGTCCGTGTTTTGTGGGCGGGAAGGGCCGCGGCGTGCCCTCCAGCCACGTGAGACCACACGCAGGGCTCTGGGGTGCCCAGAACACCCAGGCCGCACACCGGGCCGGCCTTCCCTGGGCAGTGGTTCTAGAACCTTTTGTGTGCCTTCGTCATCACAGCCCTGTAGTCTGCTAAGGGCCAATTGCTTGTAACGATTTCAAAGTACTTGAGAGCCCTGAGTTTTGAAAAGCAAGGATTCTCTGTCTCGGAATATAAAAAATGAGCGTTTTTAAGTTCAGATTGTTTTTCTACCGTGTTATCTTAAAGCAGTAAGGGAGTCAGCAGATCTGAGGCACGGCATTGCTGAAAACATAATTTAAGGAGAAGGGTATTTCTCAGTATGGTCACGTGGCATCGGAGTATCTGGAAGGCAGCCTCACTCCTTCCCTGGTGCTGATGTGGCCGTGGCTGGTGTGCTCTCGCACGTGGCAGTGGGCGCTTGTCGTCATCCAGGGTGTTTGTGAGCGTCTTCCTCATCCGCCTCGTTGGCCAGCGAGGCCGTCCTCTGCAGATGCCCCTGTTGTGCTCACCGTACTGCTTGGAACACTGTCCATTGGGTCAAGCAGGGGGAACCTTCTGGCAGTTATCAAATGAGTTTAACAAATGAGCCAGTCATCGTAACTTCAGTGTTTCCCTTTTGCAGGGTTTCTTACAGAAACTGGAAAAACCAGAGCAAGTACCATTTTTTCTACAGGAGCTGAATCTGCCTTCCAAGTCACACAGATCAGAGTTATGGTAAATCCCGCGTTGCCTTCTGTATGCAGCGTTGCTGCTGTTTTAAAACCAGGGCTATGGCCGGGAGCTGCTTCGGATTCTGTGTCTCCCTGTCTCTCTGCCCCTCCCCCACTCATGCTCTGTCTCTCTCTGTCTCAAAAGTAAATAAACTATAAAAAAATTTTTTTTAAAATGTTTTTAAATAAGATTATGCTTCAGAGGTCTGTGACACTGGGTTTTCGTTGACTGTCTTGACGATTTCTCGGTGCAAGGCCTGTAGCGGAGGACAGGGACACAGAGATGAATAGTCTGCTGTCTGGGAAGGTGTGAACATAAGGACTGAGAAAGATAAAGAATCCTTTCTTAGGAAGCAGCGTTTTTTGTTTTGTTTTGTTTTTTTTCTCTTCCAGGACTTAACATATTCAAAAATATGTTTATGTTTTGTTGGTTTGATTTTGCTTTAAGCTGTTTGCTTTTAATCGTATTCTTTGGAAACCAAGCAGCCACAGGACTTTTGCACCTTCAGCATACTTCATTTAGATATGTTTCCAGGTTCGACGTGGTGGCATCGGTGCCCAGTGCGGGTTGGTGTTTGCCTATAACTCATCTTCTGAGAAATTTCATGCGGAAGAACACTTCAAAAGGTTTGAAAAATATGACCAATGGAAGCTCCAGGAATTCAGGCAATTTGTAAAAAGCAGGTAGGGAACAGAATAAAAATCTTTGTAGTTAATAAGACTATATGTATTCTCTTATTGATAAAATATGCTTTTTTTCAAAAAAATGTTTTATTTATTTTTGAGAGAGAGAGAGAGAGAGAGAGAGACAGCGTGAGCAGGGGAGGGTCAGAGAGAGAGCGAGACACAGAATCTGAAACCGGCTCCAAGCTCTGAGCTGTCAGCACAGAGCCCGACGCGGGACTTGAACCCACGAACCGTGAGATCATGACCTGAGCCGACGTCGGACGCTTAACCGACTGAGCCACCCAGGCACCCCAGTAAAATACGCTTTTATGTCTTTATAGATGAGGTGCCCTAACCCATCCTCAGTGGCTGTGATCATTCATTGCTTTCTAGCAGCCATCTGTGAAGACATGTTTTATCTTGTTCATGGACCCTAACCCATTCTTCCCGTGACCAGGTGGATGCATCTCCAGAATGGCTGGGTGCTGATACACACCTGGACTGTCTTCAGTCTCCAGCTGCTGGGGGGTTTATGTGCCCTAACCTCCCTCCTGCTAGTCATGCTCTATTGGAGATATTTAAAAGCACCCACTCTGCCCTGGGCCTGACGCTGGGCTCCAGAGAGACACAGTGAGCACGTTAGCCCAGTCCCTCAGTTTAGACAAGCAGTGTCGTGGTGCTATCAGCACTGGGCAGGAAAGGAGGGATGGGGCTCTGGGAGGGAAGACCCCGGAGGGAGTATTGTCAGTATAAGAGCTAAGGATGATGCACAGCTGATCAACCACTTGAAGAAGTGGAAGGAGAGATCCTGAGCAAAGAGCAGAGCAGATCTGTGAACTCACAGGGAGGGACAGAGGGCGGTGGGGGGGCTCAGGTCCCACGTTCAGGGACCTGCAAGTGCCAGAAGTGTACTTTGAGGTGGACAGGGGCGGAACATGGAGCTGGAGGGGCAGGAAGGGGCCGGGCCACTAACGGTCTTCCTGTCTCTGGGTCAGGGCTTGGACTCTATCCTTTAAGCAAGGGAGGGGGGTCGGCATAGTGTTGAGGAATTTCAGAGAAGAACGAGGAGACCAGACGTGTGTTTTACCAGCAGTGTTCTAGATCAGTGTGTGTGGCCTGGGCAGGGGAGAGCCAGCACGGAGGCAGGATGGGATGGGGGAGGCAGCCAGCAGCATGGGTCACCTTGGCTGGAGCAGTGTTGGCAGTGACGGAGCGGTGGTGACCCACTGAGAGACCGCCAGAAGGTGACTGAGAGTAGAGCAGGGGAGGGAGGGTGGTGTGGGCGTCGGGGCCTGGGATTCTGGCTTGGGCAGGTGGGACACTGGGAGTGCCTTTCTCTCATAGAAAATACGTGGGAAAACAGGTCTGTGGGAAAGGTGACGAGCTCAGTTTTGGTCCTGTTGAATGTGAGGTTTAGGAGGACCTTGAGGTCCTTGACATCTGGTTGGATAAGTGTGTCAGGATCTGGAAGAGGTGTACGAAGTTACGGATAGAGACACTTAAATGCTAATTTAAGCGAGTTAGATCACTCTGGAAGAGTGGGTGGGCCAGGAAGGGAAGAAAGACCCTATAGATCAGCATGCTTAGAGGCACCACCATTTAAGGGGCAACGGAGAAGAAAGGAGGCCAAGAAACAGCCAGCAAGGCAGTAGGAAGGCCAGCGTGTGTCGTCTTGAAGCCCAGGGGAGTGATTCTAGAGGAAGTAAGCAGTGGGCAGCGGTGTCAGACGTCACCCAGGGTCAGGTCTGCAAATGGACCTGCCAGATTTAGCCACAGGTCATCGGTGACCCTCAGGCCACATCGCCGCCCTCATTCCTAGTAGCGGGTTGGAACTCCCCGAGCTGCGCCCTAGGCTTGCTGCTCTTGCTCCAGTGCGTCCCGGGTGACAGGGCACTGAGCTCACAGAGGGCTGTAGGCGTCGCCAGTACCATACGCTAAGCGTGGCTGCCGTCCCGTGTGGATTCTGATCCGGGTTCTGGGCGGGTCAGAGACTTTGACCTGTAAGAAGCTCTCAGGTGGCTGGTGCTCCCTACCCACGGACCACGCGTGGAGTAGTGGGGTCTGGGGTAACTCTCTCCCCACTGAGCTTCCTTTGGTTTCATTACAAGGGCCGCCAAGACAGATGGTCATTCAGTCTCTAGAATGCTCTTGAGGACGAAGAGCTCACTGCACTTCAGTAGTTAGATTATATTTAGTTGGGATCCACATTCCATGCCCTTAATTCCAGCCCTCTGAATGAATTGGAACAAATACCCTTTCCCCCTAGACTCTCCCTCCCCACCACAAATATATGCCTTTTTAAAAGATGCCTTTTCCTTTTTTCTGTTTTTAATGGTAACTAGAAATTACACTTATTTTTAAGCAGCTCTATCCCATTCTTGGGACATATTAAAATAAGTTTTCCCCCTAAGTCTGCTATTAAACAAGATCTTTCACATATAGGATTTCTTTTCTTTTCTTTTTTTTTTTTTAACTTAAATGCAGCCTAGTCATTACGCCCTTGCCGATTTTAGCTTCTGGTTCCAGCCTGACTACTCTAAAATCCTGCTTTGTCTAGCCTCCGTGTTATCACTCTCTCTCCAGTTTGGAAATCAAAATGTTAACGTACATGCATCTGACTTCTTCCCTTTTTTCTCTCCTCCTCTGTCCTTCTGGCCAGATGCTGGTCAGTCAGCATGCTCCAGAGCCAACTGTCTTATTGCTGTGTGGCGTAGCGAGCGAGGGTGCTTCTCTTTGTCACTGTCACCTGGGCAGCAGTCTCTCCGTCTCAAAGATTTTCTTGATGGCTGCCAGAGACTGAATTAAGAAATCCTCAGACACGATACCGATGAAACTCATGGACATGGTTTTGGGTTAAGACAGAATACCACCTGTCCCATTGGTTTTAGGGTTAATGATGTCATGGAAAGTTTATGCTAAGAAGGGGCTTACGTTGGGATGTCTGGGTGCCCAGGTGGTTAAGTGTCTGACTCTTGATTTTGGCCTAGGTCATGATCTCACGGTTCGTGGGATTGAGCCCCGTGTTGGGTTTTGTCCTGACAGTGCGGAGCCTGCTTGGAATTCTCTCTCTCTCTCTCTCTCTTCTCCTGCCCACTCACATGCAGTCTCTCTCTCTCAAAGACATTTAAAAAAAGTGTCTTCTTGACCTATGTTAAGAAGAGAACATTTTTTGTGCCTGTTACAGAACCGACCCCGAGTCCTTAATCTTTTCTCTCTTCTTGCCACACATGCCCATGTTTGCTTCTCCACACGGAGCACTCTCGAGTTGCCAGCTTGCTGGCCTCGTCACAGATTAACTAGTGGACAGTTTTAGGAACGTGATCTGAAAAAGACTGCCTTTTTCTCCTTTGGTTATTTAATTCCTGAAAAAGGAGTACGATTCAAGTGTCTCGTTTTTAAAAAGAGGTGGCACAGAGTTGTGCTCCTTTAGCCTTGAGGCTGAAATGCTTTCCTGGAAGGAAGTTTTAGGGAACAGGAAAAAATAACAGAGGCTGAAGTTTTCCTCTTTTGGAGCTTCACGATCTGAAAGCTCCCTGGCTTTTACCCTTCGGTTGTTGAAAGCAAACTAAACCTCAGGCTGGTCGTATGTATATTAGAACCCGCCTCTCCTTTGGATCTTTCTAGAAGCACACAGTGGCTGTTGCATTGTTCCTTATTCCTAACTAGCTCATCTAAGATGCCCCGGGCTCCCATCTCATTCTTCAGCTATGCGAGTTATCTAGAGAAGCGGACTTTCTCTTTAGTTCCCAGATTATATTTAGAGGTTGAGGAATGAGGAGGAAGTCACCCCCAACTGCTTCATGTGCTTAGAGACACCAGGTGCCACACCCAGTCCCTGGTTGTCACCCGACAGGTCATCCACACAAGTTACACGCCACTCAGATGGTGCCTTATCCGGTAGACCTTTGAGGAGCTCAGAAACAGGAAAGCGTTTTGTGATCACACTTGTGCTTACAGGGCCGGTTGCTCGCCTGATGACCTTGGAGAGGAAGACCCTGTTGGCTGGTTTGAGCTTGAAGAGGAGTGGGATGAAGCGGATGTGAAGTTGCAGCAGTGCAGAGTTGCCAAAGTAAGCGTGAGCGAGCCGAGGCCTTTGCACGCCTGCCCGCTCCTTCCTTTCAGCGGGTCCGCGTTGGCGGGGTGGTCGGAGCGTGCCGGCCCCGGAGGCCAGGCGGCCGTGCCTGGGACTGCTGGGAGACACCACGGTGGTGGGGCACACGGGGCCTGTGACCAGAGGAACGGCGCCCCCCCCCCCCCCCGGCCTGGGGGTCTCCCTCCAGGGAGGGCTTCCCAGGACCGGCGGGCTAGGACGCGGGGGGAGGGTGCGCAGCTGGGACAGGGGAAGGGCTGCTGTGTCCGTGGTGTAGGAGAGACAGCGACTGTCTGCTTCGTTTTCTTAAGACTCCATGTGGGTCTTAGTGAGAAGCTTCAGCGAGAGAAATGATACCTACCTGTCGGTAGGGCCCGTATGTGGTAGGTGTTGGGCAAACATTTAGGCATTTGAGCCGCGGAGTCTGAACGGCTCCTGGCAGGAGAGCTTCCGCAGTAAGGGGCAGGTGTTGTGTAGAAGCTGGGCTTTCGGATGGCTTTGGCTGTGCGCGGACGAGGCTGTGTCCCGGGCCGGGGTTGCCTGTGTTAGCTGGGGGCTTTGAGAGGGTTCCTTAGGGCAATTTTTGTTGACTCTTTTCACCACATACCCGATTCCTCTTTCAAAATAACTGGGCCACAGAGCACACGTACTGCCCGGATTCATCCCGTCTTACCCTGTGTTTGCCCTGATGGGAGGGGTGATCCCCTTTCCTGTACTGTGATCCTTCCCCAAACCCGACTTGATCCAGCACTCGTGTTGTCTTTTTTCTGTTTGCTGGAGACGCTGGACTTCTATTCTGTGCCTCCCGCTAGGCAGAGTGGGACCTAACAAATTATTAAAGTCTCCCTTCCATTTGTATTCCACTTCTGAGTGCTTCCCCTTCCATCTGTCTGTCCTTCCTAGTATCTGATGGTGAAGTTCCTCTGCACCCGCCAGGAGTCGGCAGAGCGCTTGGGCGTGCAGGGCCTCAGCGTCAGCGGGCACCTCCGGCCGGCGCGGACGGGGGCAGAACAGCTCGTCGTCTGCTCCCGCTGCAGAAAGGACACAGAGGACGGCGTCTGTGGGGCCACACTGCTTCTCAGGACCCTTCAATTCATTCAGCAGCTCGCCCATGACCTGGTAGAGTTTTCTCACTCGTTAGACCTCGTTCCTTTGGGGGAAATCCACGGTGACGTGGAGGGAAACGAACCGCCGGTGAGACGTGGCCCTGTTGAAGCAGCGGCGTGTGTGTGCTGCGGGGCGGCGCCGGAGAGTCGGGCGTGAGGTGTGCGTGTCGGGTTGGCTAGGGAGGCCGAGCAGAGTATGGGATTCACGTCTCTTTTAAGTCCTGGGAGAGTTACTTCGGAAGTACAGGTGAATTCTGCTTGCTCCCTAAAAGTACCAAAATGTCCAGATTTGAACTTGTTTGTATTTTTGATCCTGACTTTTACAGTCACTAATAAAAACACAGAGACAGCTCACTCCAGAGAAGAATCTTGCTGCCGTCCCCATAGAGGTGCTGTCTTAGCTCAGGGATCGGCGGGAGGTGACGGCGTCCGCTGTTGGCCTGTGTCCTGCATCTTAGTGTTTGGAGGCTGTACCTCAGTGTATCTGTTTGTTCGGTCTTTGCTACTCAAGCGCTTCTGTCACAGCAGGAGGCAGCAGATGGCAGGGGCTGCTTCGGAGCAGCAGGGGCGTTGAAGCACAGCTCCCCTTCTGCCTACACGCAGGCAGGTGCAGCTCAGAAAGGAGCTCCTGGGGACGGCTCTTCACCACGTGGACACTCACTCATGTTTGGGTGTGGTGTTTGTGGACATGGGGGCGTGTGTGCGTGCCTTACGTGCACGTGTCCTCACACATATGTATCATAGAAAGTCGTTGTTCACGTGCTTTTTAGTTGTTAAGAGTGAGCATCAGTTATACATGTTTACGCATGTGAGCCGCCTCATTCTTTCACATCGAGGAGGAAATGAGCTGTTGCAGTATTTCTCTAAATGAATTTTTCCATTTTATTTTTATTATAATTTTTTAGGTGCAGCAGAAGGAAAGTGGCTTAAAATATAAACCTTTCCTGGACTTCGCGGGTCTTGATTTGCAGATCTTCTGGAATTTTTACAGTAAATTAAAGCAAAAGTAGGTCAGAATTTGTTATAAGGTGATAATCATATAAACAAAACTGAGAACACTAAGTTTTGCATTCTAAATAGATCCTTTTTTCTTCCAAGATTTTTTGACTTCTCAAAAGTTTGTTCATTTATTTATTTTGGAACATTTGTTTATTTTTGGAAAAGCACAGCCAGGGGAGGGCAGAGAGAGGGGGACAGAGGATCCGAGGCAGGCTCCACACGGTCAGCACAGAGCCCGATGTGGGGCTCGAACTCATGAACAGTGAGATCATGACCTGAGCCAAAGTCAGCCTCTTAACGACTGAGCCACCCAAGTGCCCAGGCTTCTCACTAGTTTATATTCTCATTTGAAAGATTGGTTGTTGTTAAAGACAACACCTCATGTTTTTGTAACATACTTTGCACAGAGGTTCTGCAAACATTTCGGCGTTAGATCCTTCTTCCAGCCTGGTGGGGTAAGCGGGTCGAGTACTGTGCTAGAAGCTTCACTGTACAGGGGAGACACAGGCTCCGGAGTGGCCCACTGGCCCCCCCGGGGCTGTGTGTTCAGCTGCCACCTGGTACAGCATTCGTCCCCTCCTGCCTCTCTCCTTCCCGCCGGCCTTGTTTTCCCTGTGCCTCGTGTGTCTGGGGGAGGCCTTTGGAGGCAGCTGTGGGCTTTGGAGGGTGAAAGCAACCTGCCGTTTTGCTCTCTGACACTGTGTCTCTCCGTAGCCCGAGGGAAGAGTGCGTCTGTGCCCAAACCTTGCTTCTGCGCCTCCTGCAGAGCTGTTTCTCCGAGCTGCAGAGCGACGGGCCGGCCGCCGCTCAGGACGCAAAGGCTCCCCGGCAGAGCCCTGGAGCGGCGGGGGCCGCCACGGAGCTCCACGCGCACTTGTGTGACGGTAGGTAGTGTGCTTTTCTGTAACGGGACCGTGGGCTGGCACAGCCTCCCGCTCTGGGAACGGGGCGCCTGTGGTCACGCAGGCTCCGGAGAGGGGTCAGTGGTATCCCCCTGGTTTCTGACACGGGTGTGACACCCAGAGTGATCACTGTCACACTATTCAGTCTTGAGTGAAGACACGGGCGTGAGGGGGAACTGGTGACCGCAAACTGAGGCTAAAACACGTGACCATCAGAGATCGTTTTTAAGGCTTTCCCAAGTTGTGTCTCAAAGGGACCCGGAGACAATGAAATAGGAACTGCACGTGTCGTCTGTATTTGAGTTAACGTAGCATCCTCGCGCTGCCTTGCCTGTGCAGAGGTGCTCAGCACGCAGCGGGGGCCAGGGAGTTTACCGGCTGCTGAAGGCAGGTGCGTATGTTGTAAGCGAACAGGTGGGAAATGTTCGAGCTGAGTCCTTCCTTGTTCATTTCCCTCAGTGGTGGATAGGCTGGATGGAGACTCTGTGCCCATGGAAACGTTAAAACAAGAAGTCAGGAACACTCTTCTCACCGGGGCCGCCGTCTTCTTTCCTGATCGACAGACCCGGCGGAGCCACCTCTTTGCCATGATGGTGAGCACTCACCCTGTTCGCGTGAAATTGCCTAGTCTTCATTTCCTCTGAATACCTTCCCTCTTTGTCTTCCAAGTGTGTATTTAATACTCACTGTATGCAGAGTTGTGTGTGGGACATGGACGTCGAAGAACAGAGCTCCGTCCTTAAGGTGGGGACGGCGGATAATTGCACCTCTAGTTCATGGCCTGTCGTGTCACACAGGGGAGCATAGTCTCCTTCGTCTTCCTGATTTGCCTATAACCAAGCGTTCTTCTTAACATTTTAACCTTTAAATATAGTACCTCCTACCCCGTATGTACCCATCACCTCGATTCAACAGTTGTAAACTCGGGCTAATCTTGTTTCATCTGTAATCTGCCCCATCCACTCTCCTTGCCCTTCCTCCAGCATTATTCGAAAGTAAATCCCTGACTTGTTCACAAATATTTCAGTTTATTTTGTAATGAAATAGAGTCTTCACAGATCCCTTCTCCTTGTCACTCAGACATCAGCCGAGAGGAGTGAAAAGTGCTTTCTGTGTTGGTACAAGTTTTGTTACCAAGTGGAATATCCTGTACAAAGATCCAGAGTTTTAATTCTGAAGGCACCATTTCTGTGTGAAATGAGTATGAATCATGAAAAAAGATGTGCATGATAATGTGAGACAAAACAGAAATTTCTCTCCACCAGAAACATCTAGGTCACAGAACTCCACAGAGTTTCCAGTATTCCAGAGATGGTAAAACCCACAGAGACCTAAATAAGGAGTATGCGAGAAAGCAGAATTATAGGCCAATCTTACTTATAAAGAAAATTAGGAAAATCCTAACAGAGTGTTAGTAAATCAGTCCAGTAAATATAAACAAAATCCTGACTGGGAGTTGGATTTACCCTAGGAATGCAAGCGTGGTTTAACATTACAAAATTAATAAATGAAATCAGAGGAAAAAGTCATCAGCAAGTACAGAAGACAATTTTATTTATTTACTTATTTATTTTATTATCTTTTTAATGTTTGTTTATTTTAGAGACAGAGCACGAGCGGGAGAAGGGCAGAGAGAGAGGGAGACAGAATCCGAAGCAGCTCCAGGCTCTGAGCTGTCAGCACAGAGCCTGATGCAGGGCTCGAGCCTACGAACCATGAGATCATGACCTGAGCTGAAGTCGGAAGCTTAACCAGCTGAGCCTCCCAGGCGCCCCCAGAAAACAATTTTAAATAAGATTAAATTCTGATGATGATGAAAACAACAAAGCCATTAGCAAACTCAAAACAGAAAGGAGCTCCCTTCATCTGGTGGAGGATGTGGATCACAGACCTTTAATACATGATATGCTGAATGGTGGGTCACTGGAAACGTCCCTTTCAGAATGAAAGGTTGTTGCCTACTGGTCACTGCTGCTCTGTGATGTTGCATCAGAGGGCCTGGCCAGGGCGGCAGGACAAGGGAAAGAAATTTTCAACTATTACAGTAATTGGAAAGAGTAAAACATGTAATTATTTACAGGTGATATGGTTATAGATTATTTTTTACTGTCTGTGTAGGCAGGCACCTGGTAGAATTACTGGTAAGAATTTAATGGAGAAAACTAGATACAGCATTTAAAAAAGCATTTCTAAATGCAGCAGCTAATTAGCAAGTGTAATGAAGTGCTTGGTGGGATGCAGATAAAGAAATACGGAGAAACGGAAGCATCGAGTGTGGTCCCTGACAGCAGAGCCTCCCCGCCCCTCCAGGGAAAACCGGCCGCACGTGGATTACGCGTTCGTTCAGAGGAGAATCGTGTTGGGGCCGAGTGGTTGTGAATGGTTCAGAGGGAGGAAGGGTCTTCGGTGGTCCTCTGCTCCCTGCAGTTTGCACACCGCCTTATGGATCAGTGTTCACACCGGGTCATGACCTGTGACAGCGTCAGTCGACCTGCCCTGCTGAGCTGTGGGCGGGACGCCGTCTTGCTTGATTACCGGAAGCATGTACTGGGCAGCTGCACAATGATGGTTTTTGCCAGCATGTGCCCCACCCGTCAGAATAGACAGAGGACTTCTGACCTCTGGGATGACATTGCTGTCCGTTCCGCTTTGCCTGTGCCTGTCCCTCTGACGGCGGTGCTCAGGGTCCTGTTTCCCCTCTCGTGCTGATGGAGCGAACAGCTTGTCTTGTCTCCCCCGCTGGCCTTTGCCAGGCTGTGCCCTCGTCTTAAGTCCTCTGGAAATCCCCTTTAGTGCCTCAAATAGTGGTAGACGGTGAGTACGTGTGTGGAGTGAAGAAAGTACGCCTGGTACATTTTAAAGTAGCCCGGTAGCCACATCAGCAGCTGTGACCCCCGTCACCGTCACTGTAGGCCGCTCTGGCTTCTACAGAGAAAGCGTAGATCCTATTAAAAACAAACAGAAAACTTAAAGAAATTCACTCTGTCCCTGCCTTTCTCTTGCAGTGTTGTTCCTAGTGATGAAAAGTATATCTCCCTAAACATTCGTATCAAGATTTCCTGCGGGAAAGCTTGAAAACGTTAACCGTGGCAGTGAACCAAAGCCGGCCTGCCGGCCTGTGTTTAGATGGTGGTCTTGCCCCCGCTGAGCACTAGGCCGCTTGCAGTCGGGTGCCAAGTGCGGTGTTCCTCATACCTGCAAGCAGGTGCGCCAGTGCCTGGAATGTTGTGGAACAGGTTCCCTGATTGTCCGCTCTCTGGTCTTCTAGACGAGGGTCACCACGCAGGTTGTCTGACTGTGTGCCCTCTTTTTTTCTAGAAGAATGTCACCGAGCAGGAGCACAAGCAGTCTCTGCAGCTCACCTTCCAGTCACTCTGCACATATTTTAGGTATGTTTGTAATTCTTTTCAGTTGTGTGGCATTTCAAATCTTCGCTCTTTTCTGTAGCCATACCCTCACTGCTCAGCTGGGTTTCTAGAGTGAGACGCCACAGGTCATGGGAGGGACGGGAACAGTGGTGGGGTGACAGTCTTCTGAAGAGCTGACTCCGTGTCCCAGTCCTGTGAGACCGTTCAGAGCAGAACCCGCCAAGGGTCTCTTGAAGCACTTGAGTTTCTAAGTGATTTGAAGACAAACAGCCCAAAGGACTCTGGGGTCCTGTGGCCAAGTCTGAGAAGCCAGCAGCACACGATGGTGGTCGAGCACAGGACGTGTGTGCTGGGAGGGCAGCACTTGGCTGCTGAGGGCCCAGCGGGCCTGCAGGCCAGGTTACGGCTCCCGTGGACAGCGGACGTGTGTTTAGACTCGAGCATCAGGGGTGGTGGAAGAGCCTAGGAGACCACACGTGGGGACGTTTGAAGACAAGGATGTTGTCAGGTTGGCCATCACGAGATGAGGTGTATTTCTTGCTGGGCATCAAGGTGATTTTTGCATCAGATTTGCTTCTCAGAATCTCTTTGAAGGACTTGAGGATTTTTGGGCCTGTGCTTTTTAAGGACATGGAGACAGACAGTGGCACAGGCCCAGCTGGGACATGGCCCTTTTCCTGACCCAGGCTCCTCACATCCCTTAGAAGCAACGCTGAAGTCTTGCTAGGATTCTTTTAGAAACTTTAAGACAAAAGCCTGAAAGTGCCCTTCCTGAAACAAAGTGTCGTGACAGATTTGTGTCCTTTCAGTGATAAGGATCCAGGTGGCCTTCTCCTCTTGCCCGAGAAAGGGGACGTGGCTGACACGAACAGCAGCGAAGTGCTGGCGGTCATGAGCATCCTCCTGTCCGTCGCCGCTCGAGAGGTAACTAGTGGCCGCCGCGCTTGCTTCCCTCGTGCCAGGAGCCGCCTGTGATCCGGCGATCGCGGCGCCTCCCGTCAGCCTTGGTCACATTGTGCGTGTCGCCTGTCCCCGTGTCCCTTACAGACGTGCACAAACGTTCACCAGCCTGCCTTGGCTCCTGATCACCTGCTGCTGCTGCTGCTGCGAGGGAGGGACACTCGCCTGTCCCATGGTCGTCGGCAAGCAACACATGTGGGGACGTGCTCGTTAAGATTTTCTCTGAGAAAGAGGAAGGGGTTTTGCTCTGTCCCCTGTAGTGCACGTCAGGGAGCCCCGCACTCAGTGTGTCTGTGGTGAGGGTTCTGTGGAACGTTAGAGTCTTTTTTTTCCTTTAAGATTTCTTAGCCAACCTACGGGCTAATTAAGTCTGAAAAGATAGACTCTTTTTCCTCTGCTAATGTTATTTTCAAATTTTTGCGTAATTTGCGTTAACACAGAGGATTCTGTTTCTCAAGATGTAGTCCGTGTGCCAGCTCGCTCAGCTTCACCTGGTGAATTTGATCAGAAATTTGGGTTTCTAGGCCCCACCACAGGCTCCTGGGTTAGAGCCTCTAGGGACAGGATTCAGAATCTGCGTTAGACCCGGCACCTCTGGGACTCTGACGTGACTGGGGGGCCCAGATTGCTCTCTGCACTAAACAGGGACCAGGGCAGCGGTGACCGTGGGACAGGTCAGACGCATCCTTGGGGCCTTTGTGGCGGCAGCCCCGTGATAACGTGTGTTTTGTGGCTGAACTTCAGGGCCGTTGAGTCTCCTGCGTTTTCCTTGGGTGGTGCTTCCCTGTCTTCGTATAGCCACCAGAGCCACAGTTCCATTCATTCCTGGCCGCTTGCTCTTAGGGAGAGAGCGGGGGCCGTGCTGGCCTGTCGTTTGCCAGGGTTCTCCTGCGGCGGGCCGCGGCGCTGACCTGGTGTCACTTGGAGTCCGGGGATGTCAGTGTCCCGCTGCAACGCCCGTGTTCTTCACGGTGACGTGCTGACCGCCGAAGCCTCCCCTGTCGGTCAGTGCTCTGCTGCTGCCGCCACGTGGGCGTTCCGTTCGCCTGCGTCCTGCTTTCTGTCCCGTCTCCAGACTCTTCGGCCCCTCGCTTGAGTCTTCCCTAGCTGTCCTCCTCCAGCCTGCGGCGGTCCGTGCTTGCTCTGCCTCTTAGGCTGCCTCATGCTCCTCTTTCTGCCACTTCCACACTCGTGCGTGTGCGAAAGGCCAGTGACGAGACGGGCAGAAGCAGGTACTTGAGGAGGAGCATGATCGTGGATAGACTTGCAACATGCCGACTTCGTGGCTCTGCGGGACTTGAGGTGGCGGGAGCTCCCGGACACTGCGGAGCTGAGTCAGTGCTGGGAGTTCTGCAGCTGATGACCAAGAGCTGAGAGTCAAACCATGGCTGCGGTGCCCCCCCCCTTCACTTGCGGGCTGTGACCCCCTCACCTGTGGGCGTCTCGAGGAGGAGCATCTAACTAGAAAGGGCAGCCAGGAGAGGAAGGAGTGGCAGGAAGAAATCCCGGGAGACAGAAGCCCAGGGAAGAGAGTCTCAAGGACAGCAGTCAGGAGAGCCGCTGACGTTAAGGTTAAGGGACGAGGCTCCGCTCTCCAGGGGGTGGCCGATGCCTCCCAGGGGAAGGCGACTTTGGATAACGGAGCTCACGTGCAGAAGAGGACGTATCGACAGGCACCTGTCCATTTTAAGAACTAAACAGGACTGGTAGCTTGAAGTCCCCCTGCCCACCCACACGGCTTCCCTTGGCTCACCCTCCTCCTCCGCCAGAGGCAGCCACCCTTCTGAAGTTCATATCCATCATTTCTTAGATTTTCTTTCTAGCTTTTCAAACACAGCAGCTCTGTTTTACCTGGTGTCAGCCATCAGCGGAGTCCCATGGTGTATGTACAGCTTCTGGGACGTGCTGTTTTCCCTCAGTAGGGTTTTTGAGACTCGTCCTTACCAACCCATGTGCTGCGGTTATTTGTCACTGGGACACAGTGTTCCGCTTATGACTCGGCCGTGATTTATTTATTTATACGTTTTACTTTGCAGGGGTAATTGGGTTGTTTCCAGACTGGGGCAACAACACGGAAACTGTGATAGGAACACATCTTGGGGTTCTCTGTGCAAGAATTTGTCCCCGGAGGTCAGGTGGCTCTTGAGAGAGCCTCTGGAGAATGAAGTCGCTGGTTAGAATTACTTTTCTAGGGTGGAGAATTACTTTTAAGGTGGGAGAGGATGGGTGAAGGGTCAGAGGAAGGAGCCCGAGAGAAAGGGGGTTTGCAGATGTGAGAGAGAGGAGGTAACAGGTGGAAGAGGCTTGTAAGGGGCAGAAGGGAGGACACGCCGTAAACCCACCGGCCACGGCTCTGAAGGCTGGCGGGCGAGAGAGGCCTGTCCTCACGCCGTGCTTCCTGCTCCGTTTTGAAAAGCCGAAAGCTCTTCCTTAGCTGTTCCGCATTTCCCTAGAGTTTTTCCCAGTGATGCCTGCTCTCCGAGAGCCTTCGTGCCTGTGTTCTGTGAAAACCGACCGGTAAACATGGTGTCTGTCTCCTCCCTCGTAGTGCGAGCTGTTGGTGCTCAGTGGGACCCACGGGGAGGCTGGCTCTGTGCTCTTCTCCCTGTTCTGGGCCGTCCAAGGCAGTCTGCTGTCCTGGTGCCACCTGCAGCTGAGGAGCACGGACTCTGCAGCCCGAGAGCTCGCCGCGGACCTTCTCGACCAGTGTGAGTGTTGGTACTTGACGTCACAAGGCCATGGGAAGAGAGAGGTATTGGGTTTTGACTGTCGTCTTGAGTGCCTCATGCATGGAGATTGTATATGGTGTTCTCTTCTTTAGTACAGGTTATGTCTGTCTCTGGGTGGTTGTTTTCTTCTTCAAATAGAATTCTATAGCATGTCTTTTTGCTCAGAATTTTCTGCTGAAGGTGGTAGTATGCTTAAGTGGGGTTTTTAAATTATTTTTTTGACATTTATTCATTTTTGAGAGAGACAGAGCACAAGCGGGGAGTCAGGGGGGACTTGGAGAGAGGGAGACACAGAATCCGAAGCAGCTCCAGCTCCAAGCTGTCACCACAGAGCCCGACGCGGGGCTCGAACCCACAAACCGTGAGATCATGACCTGAGCCGAAGTCAGACGCTCACCGACTGAGCCCCCCAGGCGCCCCTGCCTAAGTTTTTTTATAGCGGGGTTGGGTCCTCTCACAACCTAAACATTGCTCCTGTGTGTGTAGCACTCTTTACTAGAGTCTGTCATCTCCGTTTTAATCAAGTTATCCAAAAAAGAAAGTCTTGAACTTTTAAAATCTAAGGTATATGCGAGCCCCACTGTGGTCTTTGTAGACACTGAAAAATCCTCATACTCAGGTCCTGTCATTACATGACATCCAACAGGTTCTGAGAACTGCGCATGTGAAAAATTCGGCTCCCTCACATTTGGTCTCAGCAGTGTGACAAAACTACTGACGGTGTGGACTCCTGGGGGCCCACTGAGCCACGGGAGAGGCAGCCTGGCGGCCAGGTCGGTCAGTCAGCAGCCCTTCGCTCAGACAAGTGCTTTCTCCACCCCCTCAAAAAGTAGCAAAGACAAAAAAAAAAAAAAAAAAAATCACTCACTTGAAAAGCGATCTTTTCCTCAGATTTGCACTTCTTTTCCTTCCCAGAGGAAAACATAGGTGTCTCATGGTCTTGTGGATGTGGAATTCCCCCAACAGCGTCTGTGACCCTCTCCAGCTCTGTCCTTGATGACGACCAAGCAAGTGGTGTTTCTACCGTGTATAATATTAATTACTGTCTTTATGTTTTGGTAGATGTGGGACAGTTTCTGGCAAGCTTGAGAGTGATTTTGGAATCCCTTTTGTCACAGTATACTGGAAAAACCCTTGTAGAAAAACTATGTAATTCGGTGTTTTCGATGGCAGCTCGTCAACTGGTAAGACACGATGACGGCCTTTGTGAGGCAGGGGGGCTTGGTGGCCCGCAGCCCCGGGCAGGGCCTGAGGCGGGTGTTCAGTGCCTTGTCAATCTCCCTTTTAGGTCATCTTTCTCCTGGACTTCTGTACTCTGGACATTTCACACTGCGCACTCCTGAGAGAGTTCAGCACGCTTCCGGAACTGTTGAAGCAGCTGTGCAGTGACCCCGAAGGAGGACCGAATACGGTAACTCAAAGGATCCCCTCTGCATCCCCTCTTGAGAGTGATATGACGAAACTGAACGAAACCAACGTCATACACATCTACACAAACAACAGATGGCCCCTGGAAGACCCCGAGTTTGCTAACAAGGGTAAAGGGCGGCCCGAGTCAGTCTGGCCTGGTCAGCATCAGAAAGCAAGCTGTACGTAGGTTACTTTCCTTTCCTGGAATGTGAAGTTACATAAATCCGTATAAGTGAATAAGCAGAATGAAGTCCAGAAGAGAAAATATACGTTGAAAGGCAGATTAGAAATCTGGGTATTTAAAAGAATTTTCTCCCTCCTTAACTTTACAGCACACAAAGATTTTTCACTGTCTTCTTTGAGTCTCAAAACAACTCTGTGGAAATAGGAAGGGCATGTATTATAAAGCCTGCTTTAAAGGTAAAAAAGCAAAGATGATAAAACAGGGAGGGAGGAGAGAAGGTGGGCTCAGATTTGCCAAGGTTCCAAATTCAGTGTTTTTTCCACTGGAAGTTCAAGCTAGTAGTGCTTTTCAAGAGCGAGCTCTGCCCCAGCCCAAACCAGAAGCTAATCACAGAAGCATCTAGTTCACTAAAAACCCCACCGCGCTCTGCTCAGGGAGAGCCGCGTGTTGACCCAGCGTGTGCCGGTGGAACGTCAGGGGCACTTTGAGCCTGTGTGGCGATTTGCATCTGGTGTCCGGGCTGGCTGCCCGGAGCGCGAGTGCACAAGCACAGGTCTCTGTGTGTCTGGACATGAAGTGACAGACGCTTGCTTGCTTGCCTGTTCGTTTGTGTAGCTCGATGTGGACACTTGGCCGCAGGAGCACCCTGTGGTGCTGCACACGTGGACAAAGGAGTCTGCACACAACTATGGGAACAACTGCCATGAGGTGTCCGTCTTCGTGAGCCCGGGCGCTACCTGCTTTGAGGTGGAATTTGATGAGCGGTGTGAGACCGAGAAGCGGTAAGACACTCACGGTCTTTCCCCAGGCGGTAACGGTTCACACGCCAGAGGGCAGGTAACAGAGATGATGCCTTCACAGGTACGACTATCTGGAATTTACCGACGCTAGAGGTGGAAAAACACGCTATGACACCAAAGTTGGCACTGACAAGTGGCCCAAGGTGAGTGGCGCTCCCAGAACGAGGTGACATGCACGTTTCTGCACCGAGCCTCTGCCTTTGCCAGCCCTTGGGGGGAAGCATTTATCACTCTCTTGTGAAAGGAAGGGCTTATGTCAGAGTTCACAAATGACAGCCGGTCACCTGTTTCGTTAATCAAGTTATCTGGGAACACGGCCATGCCCGTTGGTTCACGTGTCGTTTCTAGCTGCTTTGGCGCTGCAGGGAAGAGCTGAGCGGTCGCAGCAGAGACCACACAGCCCCAGAGGTCTAATAATTTACTGACTGGCTCTTCACAGGAAACTTGCCAGTCCCTGGTGTGTGTCACATTGTCCGGCGTGAATGGGGAGTTGTGATCTTTAGCGCAGAAGGGCCAGTGGGCCCAGGAAGGCCCAGAGCCTGTGGGGAAAGCCGAGGGGGCCCACGGTGGGACCCGCATGGCCTCTGGGGCAGCGTTTCCTCTCCGCTGTCGGGTTCTTGGCGAGGAGGGAGCGGAGGGACGCACAGGCACCGTTTCTGGCCGAGCGAGTAGTAGGCAGATGGGCGCCTGAGGTTTAGAGAACTGTCGGGCTGTTTTCCGCCAACGCTGCTTGCTCACGAGGTACGGCGGTGAATTCTGTTCCGATCATTCCACTGTATGTTTCTCCTTCAGTCACCTTGGTGGGCGATGAGATAGAATGGCGAGAATACAGACCAGTTTTAGATTTAGATTTTTTGAATCTTGAAGAACGTGCTTGTTGCTGAAGTGGCGCTTTCTCATGGCTTTTATGTTTCTCTCTAGAAAGTGACCTTTAAGGCTGGCCCACGGCTCCAGTTCCTCTTTCACTCTGACAGCAGTAACAATGAATGGGGCTACAAGTTCACGGTCACGGCTTACGGCCTGCCTGATGTGGCCGTGTCGTGGGCATCGGATTTACAGCTGCTTGTTTCCCGGCTGCTGGGACGCCTCGCTGCCCAGTGCATGGCGCTCAAGTCCACGCACCGTGAGTCCGCGGGAGGGCGAGGTGGGGGGGTGGGGTGTGGGCAGGGCAGCGCCAAGTGTCGACGGGGTGCCCTCCCGGGGCCCTCTGGACCAAACCGGAATACGGTGTCCACTGGATGCTGTTTCCATAGTTTCCCGATGCAGAGTTTAGAGCCTGTCACAGAGGGTGCTGGGGATGCCCTGGCCGGAGGGCCCTTAGGCCACGGGGCTGGTGCTCCACAGCATTGCCGTTGCTTTTTTTTTTGTTCTCATTAGTGAAATCTGGAAGGCAGAAGTAGAATAAATTAACTCTATATCCTTTAGCCACGTGAGTGTTTATGTTAAATATGGGAATGTGGATTTTGTCTTAAAGTGATTTTTCAACTTAATTACTGAATTCATCCAAGAAATAATAGTTATAGAATAAAACTTTGCCGTGTATTTAATTTTTTTAATCATTTTTTGAGTTTTTCGGATTGTAAAAGTAAAATCTAGAAATTGCATAATGGGAAAATTGAGGAGAAAAACCACTCCTAGTGCAGGGAGAAATATTATTAACATTATAATAGGTTTCCACCCAGTCTTTTTTTTTACATCTATTCATAAACACACATGGGTGTATATTTAAGTCTTATATTTTTTACAAACTGAAGCTTATACATCACGAGCATTTCCCCATCACTATACATCTGTGCCTGGTGTCCGGCAATGCCCTGGAGCTGAGGCTGCTGCACCGGACAAGTTCACGGGGTGTGAGGGGGGGGTGTTTATCAAGTGCCACAGTCATGTTCTGGTGACCGCGTGGATCCCTTGCCCGACTTCGAACTTCTAGGAGGTTAAAACCTCCTTTCCGGCAGTTGACGGACTCTCGGTGTCACCAGGAGAACAGAGCTCTCACGGGCCATCTTCTCTCTCCAGAGTTAGGGGGCGACGTGGCCGTGCCCCCGGCCAAAGTGGCGGCGGTCCTGAACTCCCCGCTGTGGAAACCGGTCTTCCGGCATCAGCTGCGCCTGGAGCTGGGATTTGCAGCGCGCTGGCCCACTCACCCGCACCAGGATGGGGAGGAGGTATTTACTCTTCCCGTGTCTTTCTACCTGCAGTGGAGTCAGCTCGCTAATGGTGACTGCTTTGAATTATGAGCATCTTTGTTTGCACACCCCCACCCCACTGCCTGCTGGTAGCCCCTCGAAGGCGGGCGCCGCCCCTGGTTCACCTGGTGTCCGCACTGTGCTCAGGGGCTGGTGGGTGGTGGGTGTTCAGACACGGCGAGGGAGTGACCCCAGACAAGTGGCGTAGGTGCTCAGGAGGGCTCTCTGGGCGGAGCTGCTGAACGAGCCGGTTGCGTCTGCTTCCGGCATCCGCGGGGCCGGGGCCCGACCCAGTGACCATCTGTGCTCTCTCCCTCTTGTCTGTGAACAGCGGCACTCGTGCTGTTTCGTCAACTAAACGAGTTTGCCTGTCCTCCCCTTTCTGTCCCCCTGGCCTCTGTGTCTGCTCTGCCTTTTGTGCCTGCCTCTCCCAAGCGGCTAGCTGAGGGTCCGGGCCTCTCCCCCGCCTCCCCACCCCCATCCCCTCTCTGTAGATGTGGCTTTTTGGCCAACAGCATCATCACATCACTCCTTGTCATTCCACCGCCGAGCACCAGTAGTGGCTTCTGTTGCCTGAGCTCCTCGGTATGACAGTCGAGGCTCTGTCCCGTCTCCTTTTCACCTCAAGTCTCTGCCCTTACCCCCCACCCCACCCCCAGTCCCTATCCTTGAGTGAGACTTCAGGCCAGGTCAGTCTCCCCGCTGACTCTTAACTCCGGCTCAGTCTTCAGGGTCCAGCCCAAAGCCCACACCCTCCTCCTTCATGACGTCAGCTGCCCGGGGCTCTGTCCTGTGGGCTCTCAGCACTGGGCGTCCCTCCCTGGCATTTGGCACTTGAGAACCTTTTGCTCTGTGATATCGCTGGGGTTCATGCCCTCGCCGTTTCTGTTCTGTTTACCCTGGTTTTCAAGCCCGTGTGCCTGGCTGTTTCCCCAGGACGCCCCGTGTTCCGTCCTGCTCCGGCCCAGCGGGTGCTCGCTGGACCACACCCCTCGAGGGAGGAGCCGTGCTCACGGGGACACATTGTTGTCGTTCCAGGTTACGTGCGTCTCCGAGGACCCCTGCTGCCGTCTTCTTCTTGAGTTTGCACAGGCAGACGCTGCCCCGAGCTCCTATGGGCCACTGTCAGAACTGTGCAAGGGACTCACACAGGCATGTAGAAAACAGGCCCCAAAGACAGATAGAGTTGCTGGTTCCACTATTGATCAAGCTGTGAACGCCACCTTTGCTGCTCTGGTGTGTCGTACTCCAGACTTATATGAGAAGCTGCAGAAATATGGTAACTTATACTACAGGGAATATTTCTCATCCGAAGGCCAGTTGCTAAGTGTTAAGAAAGCTATCTTAAGTGAAAACTAAAATACTTTCAGACATAAACATGTTTCTACAACTGTAGGCTTCATCTCGTTGTGTCCTGCTCTGCTGCCGAAAGATTTGTGATCAAGTTATAGTCAGTGGGTTGTCATGCATTGCAAGTAGCCTTGAGGTTACTAATCAACAGGTCACTTGTTTCTGCGCAAATCTCACGGAAACTTGCCCACAGGTGTAACGGGAGGGCACCCTAACTTGGGTTTAGTCTCGGACAAGAACAGTCTTGGGGGCTGGGGGCTCTGACGTTCCAGGAAATGCCGCTTACGCCCTGCCCCGCTGAGGTCATTCAGTGTGTCCTCTCCTGCCTGCAGACGGAGCTTGTGTAGCATCGTCCCCGCTCGGCCTCCGTCACTGGCAGCCTGCTCCTCACCGGGTCACGCGCCTGTGTTCACGGTGTGTGCAGCCTGCAGCCTCCTAATAGTCTCTGTCCTCATCACCTTTCGAGGGAAAAACATCTCACACTCTCCCTAAAGAGGACATGGGGTCCCCAAGCACCTCCGTGGCACAGATGAAATGAGGGGGAGCGGGGGCTTCCTCCGTCACAGCAGGTCACTGACGGCTGCTGTTACTACGATTACTGTGAGGATCACTGCTACCTTTTTGCCCAGTTCTTTGGAACTCACGCTGCAGAGTTTATTTCCTGATTTCTAGAACACCTCAGTTGATCCTTCCTCCTTTAATTCTTACCTGTTTCCTTTAAGAAGCTGCTCAAACAGTGAAAACCTACATGGATTTATGAAAACAACCATCCTATGGAAGAGTATACACCTCTCCTAGGGGATGGGGATGTGACCTGTCAGGTTTTGAAACAAAAATCCAGTGTATGTTTTCATAATCAAATGATAGTAAGAGAGCTGGACAGTCTCAGTAGGTGGACAAAGGCCTGTGAGTTAAAAGCTGAGAAACAGGAGCACCTGGCTGGCTTTGTCGGTAGAGCCTGCGACTCTTGATATCGAGGTTGTGAGTTCAAGCCCCACGTTGGGAGTGGAGTCTACTTAAACTAAAAGTCAAGACAACAACAACAAAAAGAACAACCCTGAGAAACAAAGACTTTGGCTGGTAGCCTGTTCCCCAGCTCATTTTCAGCACGTTCAGAGGCTCTCAGGAGGGAAACAGTCTGCTGTGGGGGCTGGACGCAAGCACTGTGCTGAATCCAGCTGCTTGAGGGCCCCTGCCACTCGGGCTTCGGAGGCGCCATGGGAGGCACTCCGTTCCCCGGGCTTCACGGGTCCTGCGGGACGGGCTACGTCCAGGGTGGCCCTTGTCTAGTTCACTTGCTCATTTTTGTCTAAAACTTGCTCAACCTTTTGCCCTAGAAATGTACGGCAGGAGATCCTCACCTAGATGGTGAGCTCCGTGAGGGCGGGCGGGGGCCATGTCTGTTCGTCAGCATTGTGTTCCGGGGCATGGTACGGAGAGCCCAGCAATTCCTGCGTGTTGAGAGAATCGTCCTTGCATCACACGTCAGCTCCACAGTGAGCTTCACCCTGTTCTGGCACGTTCTCCTTGGGTTTTTGCAAGACGAGAAGGAAGCCTCATAGGTCCTTCTTTTAAACAAACAACTTTTTTGTTCTGTTTCTCGTTATAAAAATAATACCCATGTAGGAACTTAAAAAGTACAGAAAATCTTAAAATAATGTTCAGTTATAATCTTACCACTTTAAGAACGTGTCTGTTAACATTTTTCTGTGTATCTACCTGGCCGTTTTATCTAGGCATATTGATACAGTACATGTGTGCATATCTACGCACAGTGTTTTACATACGTATACTCTTTTTAAATAGTCAATTTTGTTTAGACTGTTTCAAAACTGACCTTTTCTACTTAATTTATACCATGATCCTTTTTCATGTCAATAATTATTTTTGACCCACTTTTACTACTCTATTTTACTTTTAATATTTTAGGTATTTTACTTTCATATTTTTACTTTAAATATTTTACTCCGTTTAATAGTGTGTCCATTTCAAATGTTGTTCAATTGAAAAGAGTTAGTTTGATGTAACAAGGAGAACAGGTATTTGTGGCTCATCTGATCTTTATTACGCCCATGTGCAATGTGTGCCCCGGAGGCAGGAGACTTTCCCTGTGCGAGGAGGGTTAGAAGCTCGTTTGTGCGTCAGGTCGCAGTAGAGAATTGAGCTAACTGAGTGCCTTCTCCTTATCTCCTCTCCCCAGTACAAAGTGGGGGCCACACAGCCCTGAGCGAGGAGTTTGCACAGGTGTACTGCCTGGCGGATGGGATTCGAATATGGATGGTAAGATTTTCTTTGCATGTGATTTTTATGTATTTTCAGTTTTTCCACCATGGTTCCTTGTAATTAAGGTGTAAAAGCTCTCTTCTCAAGTATGTAACCTTAGGTTTGTTTTTTTTTTAAACTTAAGTTCAGTGGCAACATGAAATGCTGTAAAATACTTTAGAGCCCTTGAAATCATAGTGTGGTGAGTGCTCAGGATGTTCAGAGTAAACTGGGTATGTGTGGGGCGCCCCCAACTCCCATCACCCCAAAGGCCGCTCCGGGGGACCTTGTAGACCGGTGGGAGAGGATTGCAGTAGATACGGAGCAGCCACTGATGGCTTTCGGTGGGGGAAAGGCTGCTCTCGAAGGGGGGAACCTTTCTGCATAGTAGGAAAGTGTTTCTGTAGCCTTGTTTGTTACGGCCGTGAACTGGCGGACAGTGAGGCCGTGTGTCGCCGTGCTACCTAAGCGGCACGGCAGCGTGAGACAATCACGTACGGCTGTGCCACAGGAGAGCGAGCGCGGCAGAGCCACGTGGGCCAGCTTACAGCCAGGATGGAGCAGAAACCAGCAAGTCTGATAGGAACGTCTGAGTACGCTGCGCCTCACGTTAAGTTTACACACCACCCGGATCTGTGTGGCGTGGTGCACTTATACAGATGCACATGCCATTAGGGATGGAATGAATCCCATATATTATCATCGTCTGCGTATTCACAGTCATCTTAAACACTGTGTGGTGATGGGGAGAAACCCTTAAGTCACGGAGGGGAGGATGGACAAGGACACGGGGCGCAGGAGATCAGCCATGGTCTTTAGGTCAACCTGGCAGCTGCCCCAGGGGTAGAATGATCAGGCTTTGTGGCTGCTGTGAGTGGCGCACAGACGTGTGGCGCCCAGGACGGTTCCTGCATTCCTGACTTAGTGACTTGCTGGGCGCTGAAAGCATTGACCGGACTGGAGAAAATGGCCTTGGGTCTTTGGGTAGAGGGTGAGTTCACCCTGGGACGTGCTGAGGATGCGAACATATGCGTTATCAGAAACACCTGGCTGGAGAGTTCAGTAAACATGAGAGAATCTTGCTGGCGCTTCACGGAAATGTCAAAATAGAGATGAGGATAGTTTGACACCATTGGCGATGTTTTTTAAGGTATGAGTTTACCCAGGAACGGAGAGGCCTGACCTGGATGCACAGTAATTTTTTTTTTTTTTTTAAATGTTTTTTTTATTTATTTGTGAGAGAGAGACAGCATGAGCAGGGGAGGGTCAGAGAGAGAGGGAGACACAGACTCTGAAGCAGGCTCCAGGCTCTGGGCTGTCAGCACAGAGCCTGATGCGGGGCTTGAACCTACGAACCGTGAGATCATGACCTGAGCCAAAGTCGGACACTTAACCAACTGAGCCACTCAGGCGCCCCCGGATGCACAGTAATTTGAACATACACACCAGATGGATGGCTAGATGGAAACCAAATGAACAGATTCTCAGAAGGAACTGAGAGGTATTGTCCTCAGAATGGTGTGAGGAGGGCCAGAGCAGCGTTGGCCAAGGAAACGGCAGGCGTGTCCAATGCCCGCCGCGGACGGCGCCAGTGGAAGGGTTTGGCACTTGATGAGGCACAGGTAGACCAGGTTTCCGGCCTAGCACAGGACAGACTGCCGAGAGCTGGACAAGACGCCAGGCTCCTTTCCCAGACCTTGGCCTCTGGGGCAGCACAGGTGGCCTGCTGCCCTGGCTGTCCACACTGTGGCTCCCACTGTGTGACCAACTTCCCGTGCGCGACAGGCGCAGCATCACTTACAAGTGTCCTCTCATGCAGAGTAGAGGAGAGGTCAAGTTTTGGTCCAACTTCAGCAAACTTCAGTGTAACCCTAGAAGACCCTTCACTTCTCCGTTCCTCTGTCTCTGCTTGCTCAGCTTTAGGTAGCGGCCCCTCGGGGTACAAACCCCCTTCCAAACAGTGCGTAGTTGAAAGAAATGTTGCACATATACCTGTAGACACGTATATCTTTCAAAGCCTGGATTACTTTTAGGACAAACAAAAGCAACTCAACCCTGTGTCCTCAACAGCTGGACAGTAACTGTTCCATTGCCCATGATGTCAGTGCTGCTGTGTGTGTTTCAAGCAGCCTGGTGTGGCTGTTTGGGCCTGGACGGTGTAATTATGTGGCTTCAATTCCCCCCTCTCCCCCCAGCTAGAGATGAAGCAGAAGTCCCTGATGAGCCTGGGGAGTGAGGTGGAAGGAAGGCACAGGTCAGAGGCTGCCGAGCTGAACCCCGAGATCCTGGGTGAGTACGCCCACTGAGCCTTCTGTCCACCTGGCCTAGGGAACCGTTCGGTGACCTGTCTTCTAGATGGTTTTAGTTGAAGGTGTGTCGACCTAAGGAAAGTTAACACCGGAGCTACATGTAGTTTCCAAGAATGGTCACAAAGAGAAAAATTGCTGGAGAGGAGTCATTGTTTATTAATATAACCCAAATGGAGTGTCTGATTGCTTCTCTTAGGAGAGATGTCAGGTGCTTTTGAGCTATATCTCGTTAATGTGTTTAAAGTGTGCTCTTACTGAATATTTAGTGGATTAAGGAATTACCTGCTAATTTCTTAGTGATATCATGGTCAGTTTAAAAACTCTTACTATTTTAGGGGCACCTGTGGGGCTCAGTTGGTTAAGCGTCCAACTTCGGCTCAGGTCGTGATGTCACAGTTCGTGGGTTCAAGCCCCGTGTCAGGCTCTGTGCTGACAGCTCGGAGCCTGGAGCTGCTTCAGATTCTGTGTCTCCCCCTCTCTCTGCCCTTCCCCTGCTCACGATCTGTCTCTCAAAAATAAATGTTAAAAAAATTTTTTTTAAAGAATACTTCTTACTACTTTAGAGCAATGTGCCCAAGTATTTAGATGAAATAGCATGATGTCTGTGGCCTACATGGAAGTAATCCAGGGAGGGGCGGACTGGCCTCGGGCTGGCGTTAGGGGTGCACAGCACAAAGGGGTCCTTTTCCTCTTCTCTCGGCATGTTAGAAAGTGTCCACAGTAAAACCTCTTCTTAAGTGTGATGACAACGCTGGAGAGATTTCGACTTGTACAGTGAGACAGAGGGTTATTTTCTTCAGTAGATGTGTACATCACTGTGGTGACCGAGGTATTTCTCGTCCTAAAGTAGAGTTTACATGGATTATTTTCTCTCCAGAAGTGAGCAGTAAGTTGAGTTGAGACGTTTTTCACTACCTTCCTTGCTGTTTGCATTTAGCAAGAGAGTGTATTCAGAAGAGTCTCCTGTTACTAAGATTTTTGCCTGTGGGAGTGAGTTCAGAAGAAAGCTGTGCCAAGTTGGTGGCCACAGATGACGTGGATCACCTGCAGCCACGTGACAGGCGCCCGAGGACGAGCTCTGTGGTAGAGGAGCATTTCCAGGCCTCACCGTCTCCCCTGGAAGCGGCCACACCTGCCGCGAGGGACGGGGCTCCCGGCTCGGATGCGCAGCCGCTCCCGCCCCCTGGCAGCGGCCCTTCTGCCTCAGAGGTGCCACCTGCCGCCGCCGCCGAAGAGCCCTCATCACCTTCCGCTCCCACCCGGCGGCCTCCCTTCACCCGAGGGCGACTCCGGCTGCTCTCCTTCCGGTCCGTGGAGGAGGCCAGACCGGCGCCCACGGTGAAAGAGAAATACCCGCTGCTGAAGGATCTCCTGGACTTCATCAAGGACCAGTCCCTCTCCCACGAGAGGTGAGCCGGGCAGCACCCTCCCAGCCCCTTTTCTTTTCCCGCTGTAGGCAGGTCAGAGGCTGGTCGGAGGCTTAAGGTTCACGTTAAGGAGAGCAAGTAATACGTGAAAGAGAGATTGAGATTTGTTCTAGAAAGTTCAATGAAAAATTGGGTGATTATTTTTTTTCTTTTAAAGATGTGTTTTGTCGCTTCAGATTTGCATGTTGCACTGTATGAAAATTGTACCTCAGTATCGTCCTGCTGGGGTGGAAAGAAACATTTGTTATGGTGGCTGTCAATTATAAATACGTCTTTTTTAATTCTGGGAGAAATTTAAGCTTCGATATTTTCTGACAGAATTCTGTATCTGTGGGCCTACATCTCTGGAAGTATTGCATGTTTTAATTTCCTGTCCTAAGTATTATAACTTTGTGGGACAGTGAAGATCTCAGAGTTCCTTTGGGATTACTGAATTTGCTGTGGGCCTTCCGGGCAATTGGCGTCAGCTGCTCCGTGTCGCTGCTGAGCAGTGACTAAAAGTCGCAAACAGGTGCTGGCCCCCCTCCTAAGCGACCTTTCTGACGCCCTCAGGTAGTCTTTCCGTGTTGTTAACCTGGTGTCAGAACCTCCTCCTGGCCCCGCTCAAGCTCTCTCAGAGCCCCTGACTTGAGTTCTGTGTTCAGTGTTGTGAAGGTTCTCTCCTGGAGGAGAGCGCAGGCGCAGAGCGTGCTCGAGGCCCTGAGGATCACTCAGTACTGCGCAGAGTCCCTCGGGCAGCCTCACTGCTTCCAGCCGCCGTGCATACTCTTCCTGCTGGAGCTCCTGAGCTGCCAGAAGGAGTTTACCAAGTAAGTCCAAGGTGCACGCCTGCAAGGAAGACGGGCAGGGGTAATTTTACAGAAATCCTGATTGTCTTCTTCCCTCAGTAACTAGTATTTCCATGTAGGATGCAAATTTATGTTTTTGGTCTATTCTCTCATCCTACGGAGAAATGGGTTCTATCCTTTTAGTAAGTAAATGCCAGATATATGTTTATTCATCCTGAAGAGTTTATCAGCTGTATTTGACCAGACAGTGAGGATTGTATTCCCTGATACCCATGCTCGTCAGTCGGCTCCTGGAGGCTGTGAGCTAAATTTAACCTTTAATTTACATTTAGGACATGAAGTATTTCATAAGGTCATTGTAATAGCTAATCAGTAGTATTTCCTGAGCACAGACTCTACCAGGCACCGATCTAGGTGATGTATATGCCGCAGCGGACAAAGCAGACAAGACTCTTGTTCTGATGGAGCTTCTATTTTGTGGAGGAGAGACGGGCAATAAAAGAAGTTCATCCATCCATCCATTCATCTGTGTAATCCGTCCATCCCGGACAGTGATACACTGTAGGCCCTTGAAGCTGCTGTAGTGTAGGCTGGGTGGTCAGGGAGTGGGCTGAGAAGACGGTCTGTGAATTAGGACCTCAGGTTGAGCTCAGGGGGGAAAGCACTGACGGCTGAAGGAGCAGTGCAGAGGCCCTAGGGCAGGGGCTCAGCCTGAGGAACAGAGTGAAAGCCAGGGTGCCCGAGAGAGGGTGGACGGGAGGGGTCCCACTCAGGAAATCCGGCAGGGCTCAGGTGATACACATCTTTGTAGGACATGATTTAAGGTGTTTGGGTTTTGTGCTGAGTTGTAGACGGGAGACCCCTCTGGGACCCCAAGCCTGGGAGGAGCTACCGTAGTTTACGTTTACCAGAGACCCTTCTGGCTACTCTGTGGGAAAGTACGGGCAGGAGCAAGGTGGTCCCGAGAGGGTGTGGTCGGCCAGGCAGGAGGTGGTGGGCTCTGGCCCCGGGAATCATCCTGGAGACGGAGAGAAGGGGGAAGACTCAGGATCTGCTTTGGAGGTAGCGTTGCCAAGTCTCACCGCTGGATTGGGTGTGAGGGGGAACAGAGAGACCCAGGAGGAAGGAGCCGCTGGAACCTTGTCTGCGGCTGTTAGTGGATGGTGATGCACTTTCCTGAGGGGCAAAGGATGGAAGAAACAGATTGAGGAGAAAACCAAAGTTGTTTGGCGTGTTAAAGTTTGAGCTGCCTCTTTCACATCCAAATACAGTTTTCCGGGCAGGAAGGGTAAGGGTCTGACATTCCGCAAAGCAGCCAGGCCTGGGGACAGGGTCTGGAGATGCTCTCAGCACGGAGATGGTCTTTAAAGCCGTGAGACTGGATGGGCAAGAAAGAGGGCAGAGGTGCACAAGAACGGGCTCAGGACTGAGCGTGAAGGGTACCTCTTTGTTCAGAGCTGAGGCCGAGGAAGAGGGGTCAGCTGAGGGGATCAGGAAGGAGTGGCCATCAGGAGCCAGCGCCGGGGATGGTGGGCCCGTAGGGGCCGGGAGAAGGACGTGCCCTCCGCTGCTGAGGGAGGTTGCGCCACGTGAGAACACACCGGATTTGCTGCAGTCTTGTAGGGGCCACGGGGCCAAAAGCCCAGTCGTGTTGGGTTGAGGGGAAAATGGGGCGTATAGAACGGAGGGAGAGACCACAGACACCCATTTCTAGATCTTTGGCCTTAAAGGGGAGCAGAGGAAAGGGCCAGAAATGCAGGGCACATGAGATCAGCGGAGAGTTTGTCAAAGCGTCAGAGCGTTTCGTACGCCGGCGGGAGAGCGTCTGTCCCGAAGCACCCTGGACCCACGGCAAGTGCCCCGTGTGACAGCGAGGGTTCGGTTTGCGCAGAGCCCGGGAGGCCGGCCGTGGCTGCAGGGGGTTACAGCATGGATGGAGCACAGAGCCAGGGGACACCTGTGTGGCCACAGCCAAGCGTGAGGGGTTGGGAAGAGTAGTGGCAGTTTCAGGAGAGGCAGCAAGGTTTGAAATAGTAACAGCAAGTGAGAAAGGCAGGCTGACCGCCCGACAGTTTTCGGTGCTTGTTCAGAGAAGTGTCTCTTCCCAGGACACCGCATTATTCTGGCACCCCTGTGGGGTTCTCAGGCGAGTGTATGGTGAGGGGCGGGGTGCGGTCTCAGCTGGGTCTGCGGCCCAGAGGAGCGAGGCACGGGGTGGCAGTGAGCATGAGGTGGTGTCCTGGGTCATCAGCGAAATGGGAAGGGCTGGGAGGGGTAGGGTCCTGTGGTGTGTAGAGCTCCCTGGGGCTGAAGTCGCTGCTGGGGGGGCCGGGTCGCCGGGAGTGGGGGGCTGCTCTCAGGTGAGGATCTCAGGGGTGATGCCATCACTGTGCTGACAAGGGTCCAGGTGGAATCGGGGCGGGGAGGCGAGGGTGGGTGTGGCTGAGGGATGGGTCCCGTGTGCTTCGGGTGGCAGGTGATGGAGGTGAGCCGTCGGGGAGGGTTCCTACTAACGGAGCTGTGCCGTCCCTCACTCCCGTGGCCGCCCCGTGGCCCTGCTTTGCCCTTACTCTCAGCGACTGCGTTTGCGCTCAGGCCTCTGGGCCAGTTTGTGCAAGCGCCGCTGCGTCCTGGCTCGTCTCCGTGTGAGGACTTGTGATTAGGAAGTAAGCGATAGTTTGGCAATTAAGTGATCAGTGTTTTTTTCTCTGTTTGTAGCTATTTTGGACACTTGGAGGGCTGCGGTGCAGATTTGCACAAAGAGATCCGAGACACTTACTACCAGTTTGTCCTATTTTTGGTCAAAGCAGTTAAAGGATTTAGCAGCATAAATGACAGGTACTGTATAACTTCATTTCTAGAGAAAGCATACTTTCTATTTTTTCTGATTTTAAAGGAAATACATGTTCAGTGTTGAAAATATAGAAAAACATGGAGTTAAAAAAATTGTAACCCCTCATCTTACCATCTTCAGCTAATTTGCCGTGCTAACTTAGTATCCTCCGTCCCAGCCTTTCTTCTCTGTGGCATGTAGCATTCTCGTAAGAACTCGTAACCCATCGTCTTCAGTTTCTGATGTATTAGGTGCAGTTTTAGGATCTGAGCAGAGAGGCCTTCCCCGGGCCCCTCTCTGAAGTAGGGGCTTCAGAGAGAACCCTCGGCTCAAACGGCTCCCTCCCCTTCTACGCTGACTGACCTGGGCTAGTCTGGGGCTGGCCGTCATCGTGTGTTTATCCGGAGGTGATCTCTACGGCTCCGTCCTTGACCACCAAATGCCCCCCGACGTAGGCCTGGCAGGGCAGAAGCCTCACGTTGCGCTTTCCGAGCGCCTGCCGAGCTGTGTTTGAAGAGGGCTTGTGTGGAGTGTGAGCAGCCGGGCCGGACCCTGTTCCCTCCTCTCCACCTGCAGGCAAAGCAGGTCGTGACCTGCTCGGTCTCTTGTCCTCACTGGCGACGGCAGCCGCCACAAATTGCACCTTCGTGGGCTCTCTAGGTCCCTGCTGCCGGCCTTGTCCTGTGTGCAGACAGCCCTGCTTCACCTTCTGGACATGGGCTGGGAACCCGGCGACCTCGCTTTCTTTGCCGACATTCAGCTACCCGATCTCCTCATGAAAATGTCACAAGAGAATATCAGTGTCCATGACAGTGCGATCAGGTAAGAACCCAGTCCCGCAGCAGAGGGCTCCTGGAGAGGCTCCTCCCCGGTGGCGTCCTGGCTCAGAGCAGCCCGGTGACCTTGGGCGAGCTCTTGGAGCCCCCGCGCTCGGCCCCGCCTCCCAGGGTCGCTGTGAAGGGTAGGTGAGTTCTCTTTCTCCGGGGTGAGAACAGGGTCTGGCGCATGGAAGTGTATGTGAGTTGGTGGTGGTGGGATTGTGAACTTGGAGGAGAGGATCTTCCGCATTTTTGGACACCCTAGTACCGCTTGTTCAATCAGAGATCCCTTTTGTTTATTTTTTGGTTACGCCCATTTGGAGTTTTAGCCACTGTAACCTCTTGGATATTGTAAGGACTTAGGATATGAGAAAAAATAGTACACAGATTTTCTTTCCTTTCCACTTTCCTGCCGCCTTGCTCAAGTCCACTTACCCGTTAGCCACTCACGTCCATAGAAAAGACAGAACAAAAGGAGAGAAGGGGGCAAGGGGAGAGGCTTCGGCTTTGTCAGAATTGTGGGGAAAAGAGGTAGCACTGCAGGTTCCCAGAGCCTGGGCCCTGCCCCTCCCGCCCCCACTCCCACTCCCTGCCCCTCCGAGCCCCGCCCAGAGCGGAGTGTGAGGAGGCCTGGCCGGCAGGCAGTCTTTTGGGTTTGCATTTGTGGGAAGCAAATCCTTTTATATGTAAAATTCTGGTGCTAAAACAAACTATAAGCTGAAGTTATGGAAATTTATAACTTTGCATCTAAAAGGAGCCCCTGAGATTATCTCTTTCTTGAATGAGGAAACTGGGCGTCTGGGTGCCTCGTTCCCTTAAGCCTCTAACTTCACTAACTTCAGCTCAGGTCTTGATCGTACAGCTTGTGGGCTCGAGCCCCGCGCTCTGGGCTGACGGCTCACAGCCCAGAACCTGCTTCGGATTCTGTGTCTCCCTTTTTCTCTGCCCCTCCCCCACTCCTGCTCTCTGTCTCAAAAATAAGTAAACATTAAAAAAAATGTTATGAGGAGCGCCTGGGTGGCTCAGTCAGTTAAGCATCCAACTTCAGCTCACGTCATGATCTCACAGTTCGTGGGTTCGAGCCCCGCGTCGGGCTCTGTGCTGACAGCTCAGAGCCTGGAGCTGCTTCGGAGTCTGTGTCTCCCTCTCTCTCTGACCCTCCCCTGCTCATGCTGCCTCTCTCTCTGTCTCAGAAATAAATAAAGCATAATAAAAAAAATTTTTTTTTTTTTTTAATTTTATGAAATGAGGAAGCTGAGGAACGGGGCGGAGTGTGGTGGCAGGGCCTCAGAGCAGCTGGTGGGAGAGCCAGAGCTTGGGTGCCCTGCTGGTACCACCGGGGTGTGCCGAGCAGGCCCAGATCGGCTCTGGGGCCCGGCACAGAGTAGGGTCACCACCAATGGGTGTCGGGTACACTTATGCCCTGGGGGCACCACCTTTCAGGCTCCGGTTCCTCACCCACTGTCCTCTGCTCCCATCTCGTTTTTTGCGTATCTCTCGACAATCTGGCAAGTTCTGGGGCTTCTTCCGCTCAAAAGTTTGACGACTCCCAGCCTGCTACATAGCACTTCCGTGATTACTGGGAGAGGCATGCTTTTCTCTCTTTATGTCCTTCTTCCAGCCAGTGGAGTGAAGAAGATGAGCTTGCTGATGCCAAGCAGAACTCAGAATGGATGGATGAGTGTCGGGATGGCATGTTTGAGGCCTGGTATGAAAAAATAGCCCAGGAAGACCCAGAGAAGCAGAGGAAAGTAAGACCTCACAACTGGAGTAATCTGAAGTGATTTGTTGGGAGTTGGGAGAGGAGAGTCTGCCTGGGGGGTGTCAGCAGGCCGGCTCCCGAGGGTCCCCAGTGGTGGTCGGGACCCCGCTCTGTAGCCTGAGGGGCCCCAGAGCCTGGATTGACCTCCCTCCAAGTGCAGCTCCCCTCTGTAGAACAGGATTCGCAGGGTGTGGGCCCATGAGGCAGCGTTGAGGCAGCAGTGGGACGTGAGGGGCCTGTTTGTTCTTTAATTAACCGAGAGGAGTGCCGAAGGCCCTGGGCTCTGGTGCCCTCGGGCAGCACATACTCTTCCTGTGGGCAAGTGATGCAGCTTGGGAGCAGCCGCGTGCACACAGTCAGAGTTCCGTGGTTAAGACGCACAGAGGCGCTGGGCTCCACAGCCCGCCGTGTCTGTGTCCACGTTAGGTGTGGATCCGTCACCACCACGGTGTGCCAGGCATCTCCCGCCTCAGATTTGTTCGTTTTCTCAGGGTGGCGTGCCTACTGTGTGCCAGTTGCTTTGGTCACGTAGCCCCTTTGTGGTGGTCAGATGGGGCACGCCCACGTGGCCTCTGCGATACCGCTCTCTCGTGTGGTGGTATCTCACTGGAGGCATCAGGCAGCTCTAAGGTGACGTGGCTTGTGTGCTCCGTCTACTAGTGACTCTCCTCCCTGCTCTCAGGCGGTACTGAGCCCCTAGCTCCTTTCCAGTCAGGTCGCTTGCTTGGGGAGCGGTGCCCTGCCACCGCCTGGAGGGGTCCCTTTCAAGTGCCTGCAAACGGTGCTGCTTGGCAGCGTCTCCTGTATGTATCCCTGAACGCTGCCCTGTCCAACCAAGTACCCGAGCTAGAGTCTGGGTGTTGTCCTTGACCTCTCCCTTCTGCGGCCCCACGTCCACCCTGTCCCCAAGGCGCTGCACCTCCGCCTCCTTAGCGCCTGTCAGGCCTGCCTGCCTCTCACAGCCCTCAGCCCGTTGTGAGGCTGCTCCGACAGCCACTCTCGTGGCCGGCCTCCCTGACTGCGGTCTCGCCTCCTTCAGTCTATTCTCCACTTGAGGAACTTCTAGAAACCTCAGTGGCCCGTTCCTCCACCTGCTTCCCTCTCTGTACTGCGATCTACACCCAGGTACTGAATTACTGCCAGTCTTAGGAGCCACCGTCCCCCTCTCTCGGTGCCTCCTGTGGAACTTGCTGTTGATTTTGTAGGTCATGCCCACCACCCTCACCCCCACCCAGCTGACACCTGTTTGTCCCTCAGGTCTCAGCTGAGGACTTACCTCCTTTGAAAACCCTCCAAGCCCTTCCTAACAGCTGCCAAAACCCTCTGCAGGGTTCTCTCGGCCCTTGACTGCCGGGCAGAGCTGTTGTTACTCTCTGTCGTCACTCGAGGGGATTCCTGAGTCCACAGCAGCTCCTCCGTCTCTCCCCCGGCACCTGCGGCGCAGCAGAGCCCCTTCAATACCTCTTGTAGGACAACTGGACTGTGGGCAGCGGCCGTGTCGGGAAGTCCATCAGCTGACTGTGTTCCTTCACCTTACAGATGCACATGTTCATCGCCCGCTACTCTGACCTGCTGCACGTGGACATCTCCTGCGACGGCTGTGATGAGATCGCGCCCTGGCACCGCTACCGGTGTCTGCAGTGCAGCGACATGGATCTCTGCACAACCTGCTTCCTAGGTGCGCACTGCAGTCTGAGTGCGCCATGCCCAAAAGTAATAGCCGTGCTGTTTTCTGCGACCTCGGCCTTTTATTCACTGCCCCATGATAGACGGCCCGTGGTGTGCTCTGACTGCTGGCCGCCGCCGCGCACCCCCCCCCCCCCGCCCCGGTGAATGAGCAGCCTGAGTGACCTGACGGGCTTGTCTTCCGTCACGCGGGGTGTAGTCACCCGATAGACACACAGCACCCACGAGTGCACAGTCAGTTGAGGCTCCAGAAAATTACTTCTCTGTCCGAATCGTGTACAAGTGGTCAAATACACAGAAGCAGACCTTAGAAATTCTTGAATATTCTTGATGTGCGGGTGCTGAGGTAAAGCACAGCAACAGTCGTGAGCATCTGAGTGCTGTGCGTGCGTGGCCCCATCAGAGAAGGTGCAGCCCCTGTCCTGGGAGCAGTTAGTCTTAGCAGGAGCCTGGACAAGCGTACGGGGTGCACACCCGAGGACACGAATGTGCACGAGGGGTACAGTGCCCTGGAAAAGTTCAGGAGTTGTGACAGTCGGTGTTGCAGGGAAGGCTCGCGAGGAAGTGTGAACTGTGGGTTGTGACTTGGTCTCTGAAGAAAGTCAGAGCTGGATGGTGTGAAGGCGGTGCGTCAGTGTCCAGAGCAAGTCCAGGGACAGAGGAGTGAGCACCTGTGGAGTGTCTAGAGTCTTTCCAGCTGAGTGACAGACGGAGGCAGGCGAGGCCCAGACTGGGGCCCTGGGGTCAGCGGCTGGCATGTTGGAACGCATCTGTGGACAGTGGGTGCCGACAGAGCTCCTGCTAGAGGAAGGTGGCTCTGGCCTTACAGGAGTTTCCCTTGGGGACTCCGTCTCCACAGTGACCAGGGTTGTCGCCTGGACCAGCTTTGCAGTGGTGGGAGCAGAAGTGGGTCAGACGTGAGGAGTGCTGAGCAGGGTGGTGGGGCCCGGAGACCCACAGGACGCGTACACTTTCCCACTCTCAGGGTTCGAGGTTGTGGGGTCTGTTTCCCTGTGTGATTCTGGAATGAAAAAGTGAGAGCACAGACCCGATGCCTCCTCAGTGCTTATTAACAGGAATACACAGTGGATGCTTGTCGGTGGGGCGAGGGGCGTCACACAGGAGACCGCTCACACACGGGCACGAGGTCTGGTTTCTGCCCGTGGTGGTCACAATGGGGATTTGTCATCCATTCGATGAGGCTCTGTGCGGCGCCGGGGAAGATGGGATTGGTCCGTGGTATCGTGGCTCAGAAGGTCTGTGCTGAGAGTACTGATGGTGTGCTCGGAGCCACTGGACAGAACGCCCTGCTCTCCAGAAGGTACCTGTGACCCCTGACATCCCGACTGGTAACTTGGCAGATGCTTCTAGATTGGTTTGTGTTTGGAAACTAGCACCTGTAGGAGCCCTTTGCCTGGTCCGCCTCACGCAGTTGTTCTTTCCCCAGGTGGGGTGAAGCCCGAGGGCCACGGAGATGACCACGAGATGGTCAGCATGGAGTTTACCTGTGACCAGTGCCAGGGTTTGATCATCGGCCGAAGGATGAACTGCAACGTGTGTGATGACTTTGATCTTTGCTACGGGTGCTACATGGCCAAGAAATACTCCTATGGGTACACCTCCTTTTTTCTTGACCAGATTCCAAACTTACCCACAACTAATGAGACCAGTACACTGAATCCGCATATGCCCACTACCCCGATTAACACTTAGGGAGATTTTGCTGTGTGTGCTTAGCTTATTCCTTTTTTTCTTTGTTAAAGTATTTTAAAGCAAATCACTGATCTTATTTCCTTCATTCATAGTCCGCATCCATTCTAAAAATTATGAGCATTTTCTCATATTCCTGAAATGATATTATCACACTTTGCAAGTGTCGTAAAAGGAATTCTGCGGCACCTACTTTGCCTAGAGAATCTTTTGCCGGGGCGGGGGTGAGAGGGTTGTGAATCCTGAAGTGGTACGTACAGTGTTTGTGTTGGTTCATTTTTCTGGCGAGAGGGCTGGCTCACACCTGTCTAAACTTTCGGGGACCGCGGCCTTAGAGGTCTCAGCGCCCAGCAGTCACTGCACACCTCCCTGCTGAGCCCCTGGTTTCTTCTCGGGCCTCAAGAGACTTGTAGGCCATAAACGTGTCTTGCCTTTGCAGCCATTTGCCCACCCACAGTGTCACGGCCCATCCGATGGTGACCATCCGGATCAGCGACCGGCAGAGGCTCATCCAGCCTTACATCCACAACTATGCCTGGCTGCTCTTCGCCGCCCTGGCTCTCTACAGCACCCACCTGGCCAGCGCAGAGGACGTGGGCGGTGAGAGGCCGGATGCCCGGGCCCGCAGCAGCGCCGCCGCCCTGCGCAGCCAGTGCATGCAGCTTGTGGGGGACTGTCTGATGAAGGCTCACCAGGGAAAAGGTGATTGTCGCCCGCGCACCAAAACATCCCAGCTCCCGGCTGCGAGTGCAGGAAAAGCCTCGGCAGCAGCGAGACGCTCAGTTAAGAGGCAGCCTGACCCACTTTTGCACGGGAGACGGGAGCTGATTCCAGACTCCCACACACATTTGAGGAAGACTGTCGCATTAAAATGTGCTTAGCTTCTCCAAAATGTTTACATGAAGGTATAAAAAAAAAACACCTAACCATTGAAACTCCTCCTGTCTGGGTGATATATGTCGTATTTGCATCTACCAGACAACGTTGGCAGGGGGAATGGTTTCTTTTTTTCTTTTTATTTATTT